ATCAGTGCATAATTAACTAACAAATGCCTTTTTAAAAGTGTCTTTGTAAGAGCCACTGCCACTTCATCTGTCTGACAGTAATTTAATTTGCCTGAGCAAGACAATAAGTGGACTCGCTTACTTGCCAACTCTTTTCCCCCGGCTGATTAAAACAGAGGACTTGCGCGCTGAAACTTAAGTTTACGATCCAATCAAGAGCAGGGCATAAAAATAAAAGCGAAAGATGAAGAACTAGCTTGGACTTCGATATATATATAGTATTATATAGTATACTAAGCACACATATATTGGAGACGCTGACCGTAAAAAGCTAAGCAATAAAATTGGAAAGAAACAAGCCAGAGGAAGACGACTGTCACGGTCTGTCGTTTTCCTCTGGCTAATGGCTTATGTAAGAGCCCGAAGCCGGGGGGCCAGGATCTCGAAAGGACCTCAAAGGGGTGTGAAAGCCTGCCGGGCTAACAAACACAAGCCCACCAAAACAGCAACAGACGTAAGCGTCTTATTAGATTTCAGTGTGTACTTTACGTCGGGTAAAGGACTCGGGATTCGAGTACCGACGAAACCACGGCGACGCAGGAATTGGCAGGACAGCACTCGCATTAACAACTTCATTAGGGCCCAAATACACATAGGCACACAGGCATCCAGGCATCCAAGCATCCAGACCAAACACACACACATGCTTGGCCAGCTGCTAAACTCAACTGTGAAGTACATTAATTTTGTGGGCTTTTGGCAACTGGCAATAAATCTTCGGCTTTTCTTCGGCTATCTATAGCCAGTTGGAAAGGGGAGAAAGGGGATGCAGATTGACAGCTGGATTGAATTGGGAAATGCAGCCTCAGCTGACATTTATGGCCCCGACAAGGCCGAGAACAATGCTGCACTGCTATCTCCCAGGACATCGGCCCTTTTGTTGTGCGAGGCAAAATTAATTAGTGCAGCCAAAGTATCCGACAGAGAAACAATGTAGCCGCAGCAGCAATCGGCCAAAACAAATCAAATTACAGAGGAGCTGGGCGCCGAAACTGTTGACCGGGGGATCCGGGGAATCTACTCCTCTCTTCAGTGTTCCACCAGGACCAACACTTTCGTAATGGACAGTGCTAGTGCTAGTCCTTCGCATGTTGGCTGTGAAGCAACAAATGTTGCAGCTGGCAAATTGCCTTTTCCAACGAGTTGGCAATAAAAACGGTGAGAGGCTTCAAGAGCTATTGCCAGGATACCAAGGGAACAGCAACCACAAGCCCAAGGACAACAAGTGGAAAATGATTATTCAAAACAGAAATTTCCATACTTTCATGGAGATTTTTCAAAGTGAAAGGTTAGGTATGAGCAACATTGGATGGAAAACAATTATTGAAAACAGAAATTTATATGCACTTAGGATAACATGTATTTCAATGGGCTTAAAACCAAAACAACTAGACGTTTATCAATAAAAAAAAAAACAAAACTGTAATACCCAAAGTTGCAACCAAATAAAAAACAAAAATTTTTATTTTGACAAGTGGGTCTGGAGAACAAATAATTAATTAATTCAATGCCAAATAATATAATCATTTACAGTTTAAATTTGTAGTCCAAGGCCTTATTTTAAAAACAACCCAATTTTTATTTTGATACTTTCGTGATAAAAAATTAATACTCATCTTATTAGGAAATTGTATTTAGTTTAAAATTCATGTTATTCAAGATGATTTGTTTTTTAACTTTATCAACTAAAAATAGAGTGTGTAGTAACAAGTATTAATATTATATCTTAAATTAATGTTAGATTTAATTTTCATTTATAAACTTTCATATATAAAATATTTTCAAGCCTTGGGCTATTAAACAATCCCAGAAACTGCATTTCGTTAATTAATATTATAAGACAGTAAATCATTGTTCAGCATACTAAAATTCATTGGGGCAGCAAGACATATGCCCATAACAAGGAGGAAATTCCTTAAACAGCATAACTCAATCCTGCTTAATTAACATTGAAAATCTGCAGTCGGAAAAGCTGCCCCCTGCGTTTTAGTTATGTTACGGATTATTGGGCTTGTACATTTTAGCATTACAACCATTCTTCATCTGTTATTCTCGCCCTTAAACTCCCTGGCGTATACTTAATATTTAAGCAGACAAGAAGGTTGCCGGCCATTATTTGTTCATTATTCAACTGTTATCAGCTTGTATCTGAGCCAGAGGCTGAGCCAATCCAATATATTGTATAGTATACGATAAAAGGCCTTCCGGCCCACTGCCTGCTGCGGTCAAAGGTCGCATTCTGTGGGCACGTCTGCCCATTAGAGACAATAATTTTCTTTAAATTTGTCGATTAAATTGAGCGCAGCGAAAGCGAATGATATCCCAATGGCAACCGCAAGTGAGTAATGTGTGTGTGTGTGTGTGCGTATACGAGTGTACGAGTACACTCGGCTTAATGTGAGTATACTCGGCTTAAAGGCCGACTAATGAATTTAGCCCAAACCCGTCGGAATTACGAGTTTTAAATTGCGTGACAGAAACGCTTTCAAAGGCAATTAGAAGGCGAGTGAATGTGTGTGGGCTTTTTGCAGCATACTTGGCCCCGAGTTAAAAGGCCATGACAGAAAATGTTTAGCATACATACGAGAATCCTTGAGAATCCGCTGGACCAGGACACGTGACATTAGCACTGGCATCGCAATGCCACCGATGATTTCCCGGAAACGGAAGCTGTAGCCAGTCCGCATTATCGCAAATTAATGCGCCATTATTAGACAAATGCATGACAAGCGATTTAATTAGGGCGCCATAAACAGTTCGTCCACCCATAGACATATATATATATAAATATATAGCATGCCCACTATATATATACTCGCTGTGACAGTTGGCTGACATTGCTGGGGCATCATTATAGTCAATTGCAGGATGGTAGGATGGCCTGCGGATAATCAAGCGCTTTTAATGATTCCGCATTCTGTGTCTCTGTGCAAAAGGGGAAATTGCATTTCTGCCATTGATTGCCAGCTTTAGTTTTTCCCCTCTTTCCACTCCACTCCACTTTCGCGAGGGCCATCAAAAAACAATTTAATATTAAAATTTTCATAAATATTCAGACAGCACGACCCAGGACCACACTTGCCACGGCTCGGCACGTTTGGCCAGGATTTTATTTTCCAACAAACCAAACAGAGGAACCTTCTAAACTCGACAGCTGGCCCAATTGATGGTCGTTTTTGATTCGGCCTATTAATTAACAATTCCATTATTGCAGATGTGCGAAGATTGGGCTTTAATTAAATTGCTTGTAATGCGGTAATTATCACTCACACACACTCTCACACACACAGTCGAATTTACCCCTGTAATTAATGAGTTTTTAGTTAAAAATACATTTTTGCTTGTAATAATGACTTGAGGGGCGAATGGGAACGGCAAACACCATCATGTGCCTGGCATTTTCAATAAATTAAAGCACACACACACACAGCTCATTAAATGCTTTACATGTGTTGGCCTCTCCCCACTTTTGCGGAAAAGTCAAGAAGAAGTCCCTAATTTATGCAAATGCCTATGCCAAAATGGGCGACTGTGGGTGTGCGCCCGTGCACTTATGTAAGCCTCATCAATTTTCCATTGACACAAAGAAGAGTTCTATCACCCCAAAGGCACTGAACTCTGAACACTGAACACCGAGCACTGAGAACTGGGCGAGTAGTAGAGTATTAGAGTACAGCAATTGCAAATGTAAAGGGGGCACCATAAAGTTCGTTATGGAGCTACAAAAAAAAAAAACAGAAAGTAAGCTCGACTTGCATATACTTTTTTTGCGTTTTTCTTTTCATTTTGTGAAATTTTCAGTTATTTAACATTTAAATTTAGTACCAAATGTTGGCCATAATAAAAGTCATATTTTAGTTGACTCACCTTTAAGGGGCAGTACCAATGTAAACCACGAAAAAAGTGTCAAATTTTATTAAAGAATTATTTTAAAAGAAAATAATTGATGGATTTACCTTTTCAACTTTAATTAAAGATTTTTATTTTTTACAAAAATATTGAGAAATAATGGTTTAAACCAATCTTAAAGTTCGTAGGTCATTGTAATTAGAACCCACTCAAGTTGATTGAGTTTTAATATTCAACCATTTAATTGGTTAATTTATAGTCGTGCTATGATGTCAGCAGTTGTTGATGCCTATATTAAAACTATTTTAGATACGACCTGGCCACTATTTTACAACATTTTTGAAATTATAAACTATCGATAAGGCCAAAAAAAAATTTTAAAAAAAAAATTACATTTGTTTGGCCCTTAAATTTAGTTTATGAACTTACTGAACTTAATACTGTCCATTCATAGCATTAACAGCTTAAAAATTAATTGCATAATCAATTTACAAACAGCTTGGCTACATTATATACCCTTAACGTACATTATATACCCTTAATGTGAACCTTAAAGTAGAGTACTGTACATCCTCTCGACATATCCAGCAATCAGCATGAGCAACCAGCCAAGAGCATTAAGCGTAATTACAATTTGAACTCAAATCCTGACTCTAAGATGCAATGAGCTAGATAAGTCCCCCATCCAAAAAGGGATTAGACATGACTTTTGAGAGGAAACGAATGTCTTGCTTTCGCGGATTGTGAAATTGGGGCTTGTGTGAATCCATCAATATGCCTGCGACTTAAGCAAGGGATGAGAAATTTTATGAAATGATTAATGATCTAGATATCAGGAGATAACAAAAAGCTGCCAAAGGCGATAGGGCTACAATTTATTTATTGAGAGAGAGAGAGAGATACCCAGATAAAAAAGTTAAAGCTCTGCGCTGCTATCTTATCAAGAATTCAAATGCTTTTGGCTCTCGGCACTGTTTTGTTTACCACTTGGCTGTTGCCCAAATGGATTTCAATGACTAAGCCGAGCAGTATTCTTTGCTGATAAATATATTGGAAAAATCGAGTCAGGGAGCTTTTCCGCCAGGCGATAAGATATGGAAGTGGCAGCCACGAACCACTCATCGTTCCATTCAGTGCACTGAGAACCTCAACGATGGCCAGAAGTTTGGATGTTACGAGAGGAGGGCTGGGCCTGACCTTTGCCCTGCTACTACTACTGCTTTGCCAGCTTGTCCGGGCGGAGATTATCGATGCGGAGGAAACGGACCGCTTCTGCTATCCGGAGACCATGAAGAACACGCGTCGCTCCTGCGAGTGCAGCAATGTGAGTGCTTCGCCCTGGGGAATGCGTGCCCTGCACATCGACTGCAGCTACAAGGAGTACCGCGTGCGGGATCTCTCCCTGCTGCTGCCCCTCTACGTGGACACGCTGGACCTGTCGTGGAATGCCCTGGATGCGGTGCCCATCTTCACCAGCGACAGTCTGCATCAGCTGAATCTGAGGCACAACAATGTTTCCCAGTTGCTGGCTGGCAACTTTAAGCAATTGACTAGCTTAAGGGAGCTCTATCTGGGCTGGAACAGCATTGTCCGTGTGGAGGTTAACTCCTTCGAGGGTTTACCCCATCTGCAGGTCCTCGACCTGGCCCACAACAATCTGCACACGCTGCCCGCTCAACTTTTGGCCCCCCTTTTGGTGCTGGGCACCCTGGATCTGTCCTGGAATCGCCGTTTCAACGAGTCCGGCGGAGGAGATTTGTACACCGCTCTGGGACTCAACTGGAAACTGGCCACCCTGCGACTGGATGCCTGCAGTCTGGGTGAACTCCAGCTGCCCGTGAATGCCCCCCTGAAGGAGCTCTCCCTGCGCCGGAATCAGCTGAAGCGGATACCCAGCCAACTGCCGGCCACGCTGCTGCGTCTGGACATCAGTGACAATCTGCTGGAGGAGCTGGTGCCCCGGGATACGGTAAATCTTACCCAGGTGCGTCAGCTCTACATCGAGGACATGCCGCTGCTGCAGAGCGTGGCGGCCCATGCCCTGAACTCCGATGTGCTGGAGACCTTGAGCTTCCAGAACAGCCGGCAACTGAGAAGCCTGGATGCGGAGGCCTTTGGACCCATCGCTAGAAGCACCACAAAGAAGGCCCTGCGGTCGCTGAGCTTTCGTGGCACTCTGCTGCGCTCCTTTAATTCCACGCTGGCGCCGCTTTTTACGCAGCTTGCCGAGCTGGATCTCAATGGTCTGCCGCTGCAGTGTGACTGCGAGTTGGTCTGGCTGAAGCAGTTGCCCATGCAGACGAATGGCCGTTGCTACAAGCCATCCCGCATCCGCGGCATGCTGGTCACCGCCGCCCGGAGCGATGCCTTCAGCTGCGACACCTGGCCGCGTTGGGCCTACGGCCTCGTGGTGCTCACCCTCATCGCCCTCAGCGCCGCCGGCATCTACCTGATCGTGATGGGGCTGCGACCGCACCGCGGAGTGACCATGCGCCGCAAGGTGGGCGCCAGCAGTCCCTACGCCCGCGTCACCATCGAGCCCAATCGCCAGGAGAACCCCCACTAGAGCACGCCAAGTCAACTACCACCTAGGTTCCTGTATTTAATAGCACTTCAGTAGACAGTAAGACCACTTAAAATGACAGAAAACACTTCAAAACTAAAAATTCAAAAATAAATGAAAATGAGTAGAACAAGGCGTGCCTACTTCACTACTAAATTTAATTAGTATGACAAGCTATGGCTTAGAAATTCTAATTTTGGAGCACTCCTGTGGAAAAATATAGTTTAAAATGTGACAAAAGGATTTAACAATTAAATTCAAAACTAAAAGGAAATAACATAAATGCTGAGTATAAAATTTCCTTAAACATTTTATAGACACAAACATTTTAAGGTATGTCACTTTATGAGCCAAAAACAACATTTCGTTTTAATATATTAATGTTTTAGCCATACTTCTACTAAGCTTTTTCCAGCAGCTCTTTGTTTTTTATTTATTTTAAGTTAAACCCAAAAAAAAATTAAAAATAATAAATGTGTCCTGAAAATATACTACAGGTACAAAAACATATAAATTCATTTAACAATAGTTTAGTTTCTCTAATTCTTTTTTTCGGGTGCAGTGGAGTCCCTGGACTCTTGTTATCTAAGCCCTTTTCAATTCGAACAAGTTATATATTAAGAACTGTTGTGGAAAAGTTTATGAAATTTCAAAATAGTAAGAAATACATATTCAAAATACATTTAACTGAATATACAAGTTTGGGGTATTTAAAAAAAGAAAACCCTTTTTCTCCAAGCTTTTAGAGAAATGCCAACTTGATGTTGGGATGATAGGCCAAGCCAGGAACTGGCTTTGGGTCCTGGGCCTTACTGTACTTGATTGCGATCCGCAGCGGTGGCTTGATGCGGAAGCGGTCGACGGCGTTCACATCGTAGTGCTCTTCGAGGGCGCAGAGATTGGGGTAGCGCGGATTGCGACCCGACTGGCAGCCGGTGCCGGAGAGGAGGCCCACCTCGTAGGCGGGTTCGCCGACCACATTCTCGCGGGCAAAGTTGCAGACGATGAACTGCTGGTGCCAGCGCTGGTCACTTCGCTGCCGGAGCACTCCGCATCCCATGTGGGTGGCCCGCTCCTGCATCAGCTGGCGGAAACTGGTGATGTCACTGGCCGGATCCGACACACCCAGCTCCTTGGTGGCCCTTTTGTACTGGCCAAACCAGTTGGAGATCTTGTAGCCCAGCAGCTCCACGTCGCTGTGCCGTCCCGCGCTGAAAATCACATGTCCCGTCAGCTGACCCACGTGCTTGAAGCGCCTGGTGTTGCGGCACTCGTCGCCCGCGAGGCTGCACCTCTTGGCCGCCAGCTCCGCCAACTTGGCCAGCTCCGGATCCCAGCGGACACTGGCCATCCGGTGGGCGGCCTTGAAGCCGGCGAATCCGCCCGACGCCACCTGGTTGCGATAGAAGTTGACCTGATGGACGATGAACGTGCGCAGCCGATTGCTCAGCGGTATTAATCTGGCCTCACTGCCGCACTCGGCTCCGAAAGTCTGTTAAAAAAAACATTGAAAAAGTTATTTTATACTATAGTCATAAAATATATTATTTAGTTATTTAGATTTATATACAAGCAAACCCTTATCGAGGTAAGAAACATACAAAGAGGATAATTTTGTTAAGCTTTAATTAAAAAAAAAATTTATAATACTATATAAAATGTATTTATTAATTCGATATCAAACCAGCTATGATCATTATAAGCACGGTTTTTCGTTTTCAAATTAACAAATATATACATGCTAATTTAATTAAAATGGTGGATTTTCATAACATTACCTCATTATGGTATAGTTGTCTGCTTTTTATAAAATTAAAACCCTGCTTCTAAAGTCATAAAAAGTTACTGTATGTCCAGGCAAGGAGAATTGAGAAATATATTTATTTACATTATAATGATTTCCAAGTTAGAATCTTGTTTAACTAAGTGTTTCATATTTAAAACCATGCTGCTAAGATTGGAGATGATCTAAGTAAAACTCTAATTCCGAATATAGCACTCATATATCAAGGTATGAATAGAAACTCTTGTTACCCTTATTTAATATCAGGTTTTATTATCATGTTCTCTGAGTAGACTTACGCCATTGTTGTTGCATGCCACATGGTCGTTGGAACGGGGACACCAGTGCTCCTGGCAATAGTCCCAGGCTCTGGTGGTAAATAGATCCAGGGTAAGGATCACGACACTGAAGAAACACACTCGAAGCAGGAACATTGTTGACTGTAAAACAGAGATATACAGTCACTTATTTACCGACCAATCAAAGCCCGGAAAATTATAATTTGCTTGGTTTAATAGGTCGGAGAATGCGAAAAAAATCAATAAAAATCATATATAGTTTTCATTTAGAAACTTTATTTATATTTTGTATATTTCTCTAAAGCTTTAAGTTTTTTAAGAGCAAACAAACCATTTACTTAACGTCAGTCACACGTTATGAACCGCGCAAAATGGGTTCTGATTTAAAGATCCAGGGATTAGTATGGGTTCGTAAACCCAACCATCATGTGGTTGAGCTGTTTTTGTGGAGCAGTCGGCTTGCTATTTCTCTACCGTCTCGATGGAGTCATGTGCGTATCAAAAGGCAACTTTTGCTCGTTGAAAAACTGCCCATATGACGTCCAGCCCAATCGTCTGCCACACATTGCATGCAATCACACCGGAGTAAGTAAACTAGACTTACCATTAAGTTCTTTTTTATTTAATAGAATTTAATCTGCAGAAGTGGTCTTTGAACTGTGGTGACAACTCAACGCTGCTCTCCATAACCAAATCGATGCACCTCTAAATCCTGAGCATGCACAATAGCCTGCGATCGATAGCAGCCGCGGCAACCACAAGCATTCCACGATCCGGCAGAATGCTCAAGCTGAGCTGGGACACGGCGCTGCAGAAGGTGGCCTCGCTGTTGGTCATGGAGTGTGCCCTCCATCATGCGCGGCACTGCCTCTCCACGGAAGACTTCGATGCGCCCGGAGTGAACATCGCTTACAGCAAGTTCAAGCGGAGGCAGGAGCCATTCAAGATCATCAAGTCGCAGATTAATGCGTGGTATGGCGAAAATAAATACCTGGAGCATCAGAGCTTGCAGACTGCATCCTTTAAAACAGAGTAAGGAGCAGTTGAAGTGTACCTAGTCACACTCTTAGGTACAACTTTATCTTACCTAGGTACAACTTTACCTTACCTAGGTAGACAAAATATAAGGTTTCTTTTAACTTATCTATAGGTAAAAATTTGTATATGTCGTTTCCGACACTATAAAGTATATATATTCTTGATCAGGATCAAAAGCCGAGTCAATCTAGCCATGTCAGTCTGTCTGTCCGTCTGTATAAACGTCGAGATCTAGGAAACTACAAAAGCTTGAGATTTGGCATGCAGATTCTAGTACATAGTTTCTACGCAGCGCAAGTTTATTTCAAAACGGAGCCAAATTGTGGGAGTGAACTGTCACTCTGACACTTGTTAGACACAAACATGTTCAAAATCAAGCAAATATCTTAAAAGTTATGGTTATTTTGAACTCCTCTGCCGTCGCACTGCTTTAAATGTTTAATTTTACCATGGGGTTTTTCTCGGGGTGTATATTTTCAGAAAAGAGACCGGACACTTCCTGAACATGATGGTGAATCCCAGCAGTGACTTGGGCTGCGCCGTGGCCCTGACCCAAAAGGATGGCTACTACCAGCAGTGGCTGGTCTGCCTGTACAGCTGTTCCCTCAAACAGGCGGAGCCCATCTGGGAGTTCCGAGGACATCCGGGCAGTTTGTGCCTCGGCGGTGTGGATCGCAGGTACTCCAGCCTCTGCGACATCTCGGAGCCGGTCGAGAACTGCCGACTTTTGGGCTTCAAGGAAGTGCGTAGCGCCATTTCACCGGGAAAGGAATTGGCATCGGCCATAAGGAGCCATATGGCTTCACATTCAAGTAGACATAGACGACACATAGAGTCATAATAGACTCCTCCCACTCCACTTCCCGTCATCTGCAGCTTCTGTCCAAGTTGCTGCATTGTAATTTAAAACCTCAACTAATATTTAAAAGTTTGAAGATTACCAGGGTCTTGAGAAATTTTAGAGAAGTTTGTGAAATATTAAAAAAAAATGTATTATTGTAAAAATTGCTTATAATTATACAATATATTAAACTCACCATCATAAAAGAAAAAGTAAATACACTTTCAACATTATAATTTATTCATCTTATCCTTCTTATCCTTCTTAAGCCCAATTGAATTAAAATCTGTCAATATGCCACTTTACTAAATGCTTCACTTTGGGGGACCAACAGAATTTACATCTCTGATGTAAAGTGAAGCCAACTGGCTTCACTCTATTGTGCGCGGCATTAATAATAATAATAATAAAGTATGCAATAGTCGCCGTCATAAATTTTTCGACCATCAGCTTTAGTCGCGAGGGTGGCGAGAGATTTACGAGCCCTCTGAATGGAATTCGCATAAATAAATATTTTTCTGCACCGCGTTTCCTCCGTCTGGACACCGGCAACCAGTATGGTGCAAATTATTAATTTCGATATCTGACTGGCAATTATTGTACGTCAAATGACCGAGGAAAAAGGCCTACTTCAGTCCTCATGAATTAATTAATGGAAGGGCCGAAAATTTCTGGAATGCTCAGATGGAGAATGGCACTGTCTTTCATATTGTTTTATACATGCAGAATGGATATGTAGTACATATTAAATGTAGTACATATTAAAAGTATTACAATATATTAATGTATTAAATTTATTAACAAGTTAATCCCAATTTTGAATTTGTAAGTTTGCTGCCCTTTTAAATTCGCCAACTATTTTATTTATTTATTAAACTAAACAAGAACGGAAGAAAAAAGATAGGTACCCACAGCTAAACAAGATTAATTGTTGTCAATTTTTTTATTAACATTTTCACAAAATGAACAATCAAATGTTTAATTTTCGCAAATTTCCGCAAAAAATCATGGTAGCAAAAATATTACATTTTTTAAAATTGGTGAGAAATGAAGTTGTAGGTCTTAACCAACACAAAAGAGTTAGGCTTTTAGCTGTGTGTTCTATTTTGGGCAAGCTACCAAAACCCAACAAACCTCATTGAATAAAAAATAATAATAAAGTTTGAAAATCTTTTCTGTTGAGGAAAAAAACAGACATAATCCTGATAATTTATTCATCTTTAAAGTTGTATGGCTTGCTTACAATCCTTTGCCGCCTAATTAATCGCATAGACTTTGCCTTTCCATGGACTGAGAAGCAGATGTGGGAGCAATTATTGACAAGTAATTTGCATTTCATTACGACAATCTATCAATGACTGGCCCGTCATCGGCGACGCCTGTGCATATTAATTGTGGGCCACTTTCACACCGTGTTTGTGCTTTCGTCTTGGGGCTTCGGTCTTATGGCCAAAGGATGCGGCTCTCTCCCGGCGCCTGCGTCCTGCGTACGTGTGCCAGTGGCCCAGTGCCACGAGTTGCATGCCACTCCGAATGGGAGTCCGAATCCGAATTTTAAGCTTCAAATCGGAGCCATCAGCATCCAAAGTGACGCTGTGTGCCAGTTGTAATTGGTGCGTCGAGGCGAGTGGACGCGCTGGCGGATGATTGATGCGAATATTGCGTATACGTCGTGTGTGCGGCTCCAGCGTTCGTCGTTCGTGTGTGTGAGTGTGTGTTAAGTCGAGAGGCCCGTTAATTGTGCGCTTGACGTTCTGGCTTTAGATGTGCGAATTGTAAACCGCTTTCAAGGGCCGCCGGCCGATGTTGTCCTCTGCTCGCTCATCAATAAATTATAATGTCCTAATACCAATTGACAGCGCTGGGAGCGTTGGCGGCATGCATAAAATATCAAAAGCATTTTGGGCCCCAAGGTCTGGCGTTATCATCAGCGAATGAGCAATGGCAATTCTCCGGTGTGCCGATGCTTAAGTTGATTTTATTTTTCGCATCTGGGCGTACACACACACACCGTACACACCCCCTTTGCATTTATTAAATATTCAGCGTTTATACGCAACAACACAAAAGTCGTTGCTCTTGCTGGCGCCCTTTGCTCCCATTTTTCTTCAATTTTTTCGCTTTTGTTGTTCCACTTTTGTTCTTTTGGGGGATATCTCAAGCTGAGAAGCAAAACAATCCTAATGTACATTGACAGTGTGGTCGAAGGCAAAAGGCACTTAGCCATGGCCAGAACCACATCCATATCAGCCCAGCGGGCTTAGCGAGTCATGTTTACTTAATGGATACGCCAGGCAACTATTAAGTGCTCCCCAAGCTCCCGGGGAACCATTTCTTAGTTACCATCTAAGCAGGGCCAAGCGGATATTAGATTTAATATGGCCATGTCAGTTAGCCAGCCACGTTATCTGTATTTTGGAAATTAGGAGCACCCTGCTTGAGCCATTATACGTACTTACTATCACTCCCGGAATCATTTAAGTACGGGGAATTCTCCCCTTTATTAGCCCCAAAAAATTGCGATTTGACTGTGCCTCGGGGAAAAGCAGCATTTGCCTATCTCGATGGCCCCATCTTCAGACCATTACCCCTTTCCGCACCGAACAACAAAGGAATTCCGTGGAAAACACTCGCCTCGGCCAGATTCCTTTGCTTTCGCTTCCCTGCCTTTTTAATTTTAATGCGTATCTTTCTGCAGCAGGACTGCGGCAAAAAAGAAAGTCGGCAGGTGAGAGAAGTGAAAGCAGAGCCCAGCGTCTGAGGCCAAAAGAAAAAAGAAAAACCGAATTAAGCCAAGTTGAAGAGCGAGTAACAGACACCGCCAGCGGGCGGTCCAAAAAGCCAACTTCATTTACGTCTGAAACGCAGTTGAAATAAACGACTTCACGACACTGGCGGATTTCCTAAAAAGTAAGTTAAGCCTATGCCACCACGCCGCATCACCTGTCATCCCGCTAACACCACCCACTGCCCACTACCCACCACCCACTACCCACCACTCACTGCCACCACTCACTGCCACCACTCACTGCCCACCACCCTTTCAATCCTGCATCCTGCTTTCGGCATTCCTTCACCTGCCGACGCAGCTCATTAAAGTTGGCAATCGGTAGAAAGCGGAGAAAGTAACAAGGACAGTACACGGCGAATAAAATAACAATCACTGTTTCTACTATGACTTGTGACTGTTTAAATCGTTTTCAAATAAAAAATTTTCAAATAAAATAATAACTAAAATACTGTTTTAAAATTTAAATAATAATAATAAAATAACACTTTTAGTAAGTCGAAAATGATGGAAATTAAATTACAATTATAAAAATAACTTTCACAGCTTATACCATTACCTGTTTAACTCTTTTTATAAAATCAAATTAGTTTCCATCATGTTGGAGGTCATGTTTATTAATTGACATCAACCATGTTCCCCTATCTCATCATATGATTAACTTATTTCCTAAAACAATATTATTATTCTTAGCTTACAAATGCGTTCCGTTTTAGGAGCTCCTTAATCCTTATTAGTAAATAACTGAAGTCAAACATATTCAGTTAAGACACTTACTTAAATATGATTTTATTAGAATTAGAATTGCTAAAATTGTTTTAAATTAATCAGTAAATTGGTAAATTCTCGCTAGTTTTATTGGAGTACTTAAATGTTACACAAATTGTTTAAATTAAGCAGCAATTAGTAATTGTATTTAAGCCGTTGATTAGATTTATCTTGTTACTACTTAAGTGTTAAACAAATTGTTTGAATTATCCAGCAATTACTAGTTGTTTCTTTTAGGCATTGATTAAATTTGATTTGGTTAAATAAAACCAAGTAAATTGATTGCAATTACTGATTTCAAGCTCAAAATAATTGCCAGCTCAGTGTGTATGTTAAAGTATCAAGTTGATTTGGCAGATAGATGTTGTTTTAAATACCAAAAACCCCTTATTTTTCTCCATGTTTGCGGGCCTGCGGCTAAAGGGCGAACGCAAAAGTAAGTCAAATACTACTTGTTCTTTTGGCCAGTTGGCATTGTTTCAACTCGACGGCGGATGTGATGCTACTGCTGCTGCTTCTGCTCCTGCCACTCGCACTCGCATTCCGCTCATCCAAGCCGAGCTGCCGCATTCCTCGCCGTTTACAATTGTCGTGGGCGCCTAATTAAATTTCACAGCGTGGACAAATAAATAAGCACAAGCGATTCTTCTGGCCTACTGCAGAGTAAGTGTGTCTGTGGGTCGGATGAGGGTCCGGAATCGGAAACGGAATAGGAATCTGGGATCCGGATGCAACTGCCACTGCATGTGGCATGTGGTGTAGTGAGGGGGAACGACAACAGCTGGCGGCGTAGAAATATTAAAAGTTTTTACCTAGGGCTTCCTGCGACGGCAGCTGCCACATGCCACATGCCACATCCTTTAGGTTGTTCGAGGGGACAACCGAAGCAAACCGAAAAATGTCACACAAATATGGACCAAAGCGATTTATGTGCACCAGCTCATGCTTATGACAATGCCAGCAATGCAAATTCACGCTTGGCCAGTCCAATGTGCATTAGACAGTAACTCTGCTGGATGCTGAATGCTACATGCTGGCTGGAACATATAGTCCTTGCAGATGGTATTAAGGATAAACAAAAATGTTGCAAAAATTGCTGTAATGCGGAGGAGCATTAAATAAAAACCGAAAATAAAATTATGTTTATTTTCCCCCATCTCTCGCCATTCTCAATGCGAATGTGTGCGAGTGTGTGTGGCTTCTGGAGGAGGTCTTCAAAAACTTGCCAACGACACAAGAAACTTTCCCTTGAAGCACTCTCCAAATTATGCTTTTCCTTCTTGTTTTCCTTATGGGGAAAACTTGCTTACACCGAATTCAAGAGACGTTAACAACGTTTTCCCCGAGCAGAGCAGAGCAGAGGGTGCTGGAAAAGCGGGAAGGGGGGAAAGCTGGCTGCTCGTATTTATATACAAGCTGCGATAAGCAGAATGAGAGTAGATTCAGATGGGACAAAGATATTTGACTACAAGGGAACAAACAATGTCAGGCGATTCAATTACATAGTTTCAAAACATGGCGACTTTCGGCATCATTATGCTCCTTGCCTATTGTGACATTAAAGGCCATCAAAGCATCTTAAATTTTGAATTTGTTTATGGGGCTGCAGTAATTATTCATTTAAAAGCAAGCGTTTATATACTTAAATGATTATCAAATGTTTAACGATAAATAATTTATATTGTACATTGCCTTAAATATTTTATTATACTTAAAAGCTAAAGTTTATTTTTGAAGTTATTCTTAAGATAATCAGTTGCTAAAAACAGGAAATCTATTTTTGATAACATTTTTTTAAGTTACAAAATCATTGCAAAATACTATAAAATATATATGTGGTCTCAATTAAGTTTAGAAAATATTTTATTTGAAACTAAATAAAAATAAAGCAGGTAATTTTGGTTACCTGTAAATAAATGATTTTTACCTTGATGATTTACATAAGTTACCAATTTGAACGCAAACAAATTTGACAAATTTTCAATAAATTCAGCGAACAGCGCTTATAATTATCCATTTGTCACGGTTTTTGGGCTTGATGATTGAACGCCGAGACTTTGAAATTCCACCGAAAAGTACACATATGAACGTACACCAGGAAAAACACTTGTCAGACAACCACACAAGCGCTATCGCTTCGTGCTTATCGCAAAACGCATCTTAGCAGGAGCGGGAAAGCGTTGGGAAAGCTGGAAAAATGGGGGAAAACCAGAAGGGGAAAGCTCGTGTGCGACAGTTTGGCATTGTGCGAGTATTGTGCCAAATTGTTAATGCTCAGCATTCTCGGCTCGCCTTCTCCTTTTGGCTGCTTTCGCTGCTTTTGCTGCTTTTGCTGCTTCGTCTTATTGTTCTTGGCATTATCATTGTATCGTCGTCATCGCTGTTATTCTCCTATTCTCCTACTTTTCCCCACAGCCCACTCCTGCATCCTACATTTTTATTTTATTCGCTTATTTTCGTTGTTATTTTCTTTTCCTTTCTTTTTTTTTTTGCGTCTGCCGGGAGCAAAATTTAATGCTCCTGGTGGCGTCTGGCGGTCGCGGCGCCAAAGTTTCTTTATGACCTCTGCTCTGAATCCCCTAACCCATACCACATATACCATATACTATATACGTAGTAAACCCAACCCACATTTGTGTGGGTGAATTGATTGATAAGGTTGCTGTGAACAAAGCAAAAAACCAAAAAAAAACAGGAGTGGCAACAGAAATAGAAACAGAAATAGAAATAGCTCTGCTCTGCTCTGCTGGTGTCGCCACAGTTTATGACGTATTCCAGATTACGCATACGCAGCAGTGGCGTCGGTGGCATTTGAAGATTACGCATACGCAGCGTTGACAATACGAACGAAACTCAAATGCAGCCATCCTAAAACTGGAAACTCGGAACTCGAAACTTGAAGATGCCGGCGGCAAACTGGCAAAACTTCGGCCATAAAACGAGCGGGCAGAGACCGCAAAGCGTTTGCTTAGCTAACCCCGCCAGCATCTCGCAAACTTTTCGCTTTAATTCCACTTTGCCACTGTCACTGCTTTTGCCGTTGCCTTTGCATTTGGCTCATTTTTAAGCAAATATTGTGGCAGACTTACACACATCCATATGGCATATATGGCATGGGATTGCCGCCGGCTTATTTGCTACCAGACCAGACCAGACCAAGACCAGCATTCACATGTCCAAAAGAGGGGCAACAACATTGCTGCAGCGAGGACGTCACAACGAGGGTGCCAATAAAAAAACATTCAACTAATTTGAAGTGCGTTGAAAGTTTTACGAAGCTCCAAGGCCCCAAGCTATATGCAACTAATTACGTGCGTTACATTGTGCGAATAATGGCTGGGCGAGTGTACCATGCTATATGTTATGTGTTATGTGTTTGCATGGCCATATCTGGTAATCGCCTTTGCTTTTTTATGGCTCTGGGCCGCCTTAGCCGTAATGACCATAGGCGTGCTCCGGATTTGGCCAACGTCACCATCACCGTGGCCATCAAAAGATGCAGAAAGTTGCGGCCAAGTTCTTCAAACTAATCTACTTTATCGGCCATGTGGATTGCCAGTTGTGTACGCAACAAATTTAACATAAAAAGGACACTTAAATGCTGAGATAAAACTAAGCAGGCTAAGAATTTGGCTAAAATTACAGGGCAGTAAGAATTAAGGAAAATAAAACTGCGACCCCTAAAGTATGAAATTAATTGTTTCTATTGCTTGGAATTTAAAAAGGGAAAATAAAACCAACCAAAGAATAGGATTTAGACAAATATGTGATAGTTTCTAATAAATTTACAAAATATTATTATTATTTCATGTGAAGATTTCGTTTTCCGATTTTGATAAAAATAAAACCTAATTCTAAATTATTAAACCAATACTATGTCTAATCCAAAAATGTTACATTTTTGTTCATTAATTTTTTTTTTACATTCCGAAGGGTATAACAACAATCGCTTTAAAATGTACAGTATATATAGATATATGGATTGTGACAATAATTGAGTTTTATTAATGTTTATTTAGTAACTCTAGTTTCAAGTTGAAAACTGATTTAAAAAAGTCTATGCTTAAACCTATTTGACACATTTTATTACAACAAGTAAGGAGTCTTAAAGCTCTGGGATATTGACTTCTTAGCGTGTCGTCTTGAAACCATTGAACGTCTAGTTCAACACACCTTCACCAATGTTTTTACATCCCTTGAGGTTTGGGAAAGCCTTCCTCCCTTAGAAAGAAAATAGGAGGCTAAATAGAACAATCAACACGAAGGACTTGTGGCCGATTCCTTTTTTTTTCCAGTCACCCAAAGACAAACAACAATTTTTTTCCGATTGCCAGTTTTGCCTACGCTCTGTCCATCAATTTCGATTGGTTTCTTGGAATACAGATTGATGTTAATTATCTGTCTTTGCTTTGCTGCATTGAGGGGTGAGAAAAGTGGGAAAAATGATTTCCCGTGCTACACCCACAATTTTCCGGGCTCTGCAACAGAGAGTTTATGACACGAGCGTAATATAATTCATATTGTACCGAAAAATTTTAATGCCGCCTGAAAAATAACTCCCAATAAATAATCCTTAATGTCCTTGCGAGTGGGTGGCTCTGCGTGAGTGGGCGCATGTGTGGCTCATGTCGGCCCATTCTCGTGTTGTTTTATGCGGTGAAACCGCACCACATACAACCTGGGTGGTTGGATGCGGCCATGCGGCCATCATGTCCTGACAGTATTATGACGTGGCTTGTCGCCGGCTCCTAACTCGGAATCTCTGCCCGTGACATCGACTTTGGAAACGGGAAAAGCCGGAGAAAAACAAAGCGAATGGAAAATGAAACATGGCCGCGACAAATTTGTCAACACAAGAGTGTCCAGATGAAATAAATTGCCTTGTTTTTGTTTCCATTTTTTGTGGTTTGTTCTTTCCCTTTATTATTATTTATATGTACGTGCTTGGGGGCGTATTATCAATTAAGCGGATCCACGGGACTCCAGTTTGCACCAGAACAAATCCCGGGGCAGCAGGCGAAAGCCGGAAATGTTGGCCATCATATCGCGAGGAGTGCGTTCCGTGGGTTTGAGGCGGTAATGCAGGACCAACTGGAAGATCAGGGACTTCACCTCCATGAGGGCCAACCGGTTGCCAATGCAGCTACGTTGGCCCACTCCGAAGGGCAAATAGGTGAACTGCCGGATCTCGTGCTTGTGCTCGTCGTCAAAGCGCTCTGGTCGGAAAGCCAATGGATCCGGGAAGTTCTCCGGATCGTGATGAATTGCCATTATGGGAATGTGCACCAATTCGTCCTTGCTTACATTGAGCAGCACCTCGCCCTGCTCATCCTTTAGCTGGAAATCAGCACCACACATGCGATCCAGGATGAAGGCCGGTGGCCACTTTCTCAGCGACTCGGAGACCACGCAATCCAGATACTTCATGCCCATCAAAGTGTCGTAGTCGAGCAATTTATCACCAAGTTTCTCCTTAACGGCCCGGATTTCCTCGTACAATTTGTCCTGCACCTCGGCATTCATCTGCAGTTCGTAGCTGGTGAAGCTCAGGCAGGTGGCCACCGTCTCGAATCCCGCCGAGAAAAACAGCAGGCACTGGGCCAGCAGATCTACGTCGTTGAATTCGGCACGATCTTCTTGTTTTCTGCCGGGATCCTCCTTGGAGGCTTCTTGCTCAGTCCTAAACTGCTTTTGGGCTTCCATTAGCAAGTGGATCATGTCGGGGCGCACTATATTCTGCTCTTTGCGACAATTCATGGCATCAAAAACCAGTTTCTTAAAGTATTCGACGTTGTTCATGTCCATCACGGGTACACGCAATGCCTAAAAATCAAATAAGGGTATTAGCGAATAATACAGAATGAGGTTTTTTCTATTACCTTCATCAGCTTGGGCATCAGAATGTAGAACATTACTTTGAGTGCGCCCCAGAAACGAAACTCCGAGATGCGCTGACCAAAGGAGAAGAACTCATTGTTGGGATCCTTGAAGGAGTTGACCTGAATGCCAAAGGCAGCCGTGGCAATCACATCATTGGTGTAGCGCGTGAAGAAGTCCTTCAACTCCAGTTCCGCATTGCCCTCATCCAGCTGGCGCTGCAAGAAGCCCACTGCCTCAACATTGCAATACTGGATGAGCTCGAACATCTGGCGGATCTTGAGGCTGGTAAATGTGGGCGACAGGGTGCTGCGCATCTGTTTCCAGCGACGATCCCGCAGACTGAGCAGACTCTTGGACAGGACACTGGTATCATTGGGTCCATCAGAAAGTCCCTTACGATGGTTGGCGAAGTTGTCGAAGCTCTTGATGCCCACCTGGCGTATGAGCTCCGGATCCGACAGGTAGTACAGGGGATCACGCAGGTTGTACACTCCATAGACCTTGTGTTGCTTCAGTCGCATGTGCATTTCAATGCTGAGGATAGAACAGGAAAAAAGAAAGACTTTAGTTAAGGTATTTCTAAGTGTAATATTTCACCCACCTGTGTCTTATATACGAATCCTTGCCCATCAGCACTGACCAGGAAATATTACCCAGCAGCGGAATGGGTTTGTCATGGGCCACGCCCCGTTTTGTGAAATAGCCGAAGGTATTGACAGACCATTTGTACAAAAACAAACCGACGAAGGCCACGAATATCAACAACTCCACGAAAACCATGGCATAAAAAATTTGGGAATTAAGGGGGAGAGAACAGGGTTCTTTTAATCGAATTGCGCAGCGTGGACGAGCTTCCAAAAATTCAGAGAGCGTCTTCGCCGGTCGACAGCCGAAACGCCACTGAAGTAAACAATTTGCGCTCTCTTTGTTTATATACAACCTCAGATATATAGAGTAGGAGAACAAGAACCGGCAAAATGCATAAATGTGTGGAGCAGAGATTCATCTGTTTAAGGGAGTAATACAGAAATTCAAGAGAGCGGGTTTACTTATCAATTAGCATTTTAATTCACATGCTTATTAAGGAGTATTATCTACACAATATATAAATATAAACATTGCATTAGTTTAAAGGTTACTTTTTAAGCATTAAAAAGCCACATCAGCTTTGCCAAATTTTCATAACATAATGAAATGAAAAGCAAAACACATGACGTCACTAAAATCTATAAATAGATCGTAATGAAAAAAAAACCTATCAGATAGTATGCATATTTTTTGGCAACTTTGTTAGCAAACGTTTGTTTGTGTACTTACAAAAAGATAACTGTAGTCTGATAGTAAAGCATATGCAGAGGAGATTACTTTTCGGTTTTATTTATAATAAAAACACATAAAACCTTAATATAGAGAGCACCACATATGTGTGAAAGAAAAATCCATCAGTATCTGCGAGCAGATGTACATAGATTCAGTTCTCACCTTAGTTAAACTTGGCATTCGGCATGTCATGACTAATCTCATCGGCATAAACTAATTTCAACATTAATCCCCTTAAGTGACTCAACTATTTATTATAAAGGACTTAGCGACGACAGCGCAAGGGAGGAGTTACGCGTTGCTTAAGGAGCACAGGGAGCTACGTGCCTGGGATCTTACTCCACTGAAGACCTCAAACTCAACCCCGAACAGAAACCGAAATGGAACTTCTGTCACTTTCTGCATCTTACACTGCAAAGGAAATGTCCGGGGAATTTATATGTTCCCAATACGTTCTTTTTTAACTTTCACCGGACTATGATGATTTATAGTCACTAGTGTATAAAATTCAAGGACTTCTCTTGAACCGAATAAACTACAATATTAATAAAAAAGCCGAAATCATTTTTTCATTGTTCTAATAAAGCATTACACGATAATCATTTTTATAATAATATATTTTAAGTATACCAAAGTCTTATGAGAGTTTTTTAAAGGGGTTGAACAATATAAAATAAAATCTGAGTTCTTTATTTTTCATAAGTTGGTTACAGAAAAGGTGAACAAAAATGGATAAATTAGTTAAATTATTTGCGTTATTAAAATTTTTAACATAAACGTTAAGATTTCCATATCTTAAGATTGTTTTTCGTTTTTCCAAGTGCCCAAGAAACCAACTGAGGTGAACACACTAGTATGTATAATTTTGTGCGTGGTGTAAGTGGTGTAAGCATAATGAAATTGCTTGGAGTTTGCAGGTTGGCAAAGTTTAGTGTGCCGACAGCTAACTGGCTCTAATGCGAGAGGTCCTAGTTCTGGTCCTGGCCGAAGTCGAGGTCCTTGGGCAACCAACTCACGTCCCGGCCAAATGACAAAATTTGCTTGCATTTAGTGAGCGGCTAACGGGAAATTATTGCACTGCTTGGCAGGAAGAAAGTGATAGAGAGAGAGAAAAAAAAAGAAAGGAAAAGAAGGATGGGAGGGAGAGCATAAAGCCAACAAATCGGTTGGCAGGCAAAAATCCCGTTTGATTCAGCGGTCAGGAAGGAATATCAAATGAGAGCTAAATCAATCTTTCGCTCACTCTTTTGAGCTCGAGTGCTCACTTGCTTTTTTGTTGGGAATTAAATCTTTCTTTCTTCGTAACTGTTACTTTGTGCCAGTGGCGTAGGTCTGAAAAACCCCCCTTGAAATGCTTTTTAGATATTAGTTTTTTTTAACTAGCTTGGACATTGAAAAAACTCAGCACTTGGGGATACGATCAAAAATGTTTCCTAATTTATACAAGTTATTGCTAACCAACAATTTTACATTTGAAGGTCTATCTTTTTTCGAAACAGTTATTTTGTACCAGTGGCGTAGACATATAACCTATTATTTTCCAATTTGTTCACAAAAAAAAAAGAATTAGAAAAATAAAATTAAAATGCTTAGGTCAACACAAAAGCTAATGGCTTTTGTTATAATCCAAATTCATTTAAAAAGCCCTGTCTTTATACACATTAAAAGCTAAGAAGCTCAATCCTTATTAAATTCAACAAATAACAAAGCTTCCATTCAAAATAATATACATTTCCATTTCACAAAACTACCTCCCTAATAAAAACCCTTCAACGCCCCTGCCTTGTTCCATGGTTTTTGTTTTTGCTGGATATCAAGTGTGTTTACATTGGCAAAAATGGAGAAGGGCAGCGAATAATAGTGGTTCGTGGGGAGTGGAGTGCACAGAGCCGAAATGGGCAAGTACTTGAAGTCGTTTTTTGTGCACTTCATTGACAACCCATGGGTTTGGGGCCATTTGAATGGTTTGTCCTCGGCTTCGTCCTCGTCCTTGGCTTTGCTGCTGTTGACTTGGCTGTTCTCGAGTCTGTTTTCGCTGCCCATCCCATTCTTTGGCCAGCCATTTGCCATTAGAATTCAAGTGCCGCCAGAAATCTGCTTCGCAGGAGGAGGCTCTTCTTTGATGTGCGGCCAAATAGCCAAAGTCAATGTTTTGACATTCTGACTCTAATTAGGCCAAAATGCTGTGTTTTCTCTAATCAAACGGATAATAACCGTAGCCAGCACTCGCGGCCGTGCACACAAGTGCAAATATTTGCTCAGTCAGTCGGCGTGTGTGTGTGATTTTGAGTGCCCAGAGCGGTGTGCATGTGGTGGTTATATCCTGGAGGAGGAGCAGGGGGAGCAGAAGCATAAGGAGGAGGGGGAGGAGGCACCGCACTTGGCATATTTCCTGCATTCCCACCCACTTTCTCCCACTCAAGTGGGCAGCAAGCCACAAAGAAAGTAGAAAGTGATGAGAGGAAATAAAACTGGAAAAGAACTGGAAAAAAGCCAGCTTATAAGATTGGAGCTACAAATACCCTTAAAGATCTAAGTTTTTGATGGCTAAATATACCCTTAACATGAGTTTTAAAAACCCAATCAAAAATAGGCAAACAATAATTTAAAAACAATACGCTTTCGAAAATTCTTTAAAAGGAGCCTGAAAGTATGCTATATATCATACATTTTTAGTCCCGAAGACTGGTAGATTGATCACTTATGCGACTTGCCCATTTTTCGTTGCATACTTTTACACGCCATTATAAATTACTTTAAGCCCCTAATAAATTCTGAAGCACTCCCAACACAGAAAACTATAATACATTTTCTAAATGCTATTTTGTTAGTCAGAATAAGATTGATAATACTTTATCCAGCTAGGGTATACAAATATGCTTGAAAGGCTCTTGGAACGCCTTGAGCCAAACACTTGGCCACTGTTGGCAGTGTTTGCTCTTCAGTTTTCCTTCTTTTATATTCCTGTTATTCTGCAGAATTTCAATTTAACTTGCTCTCTTTTGCTGTATGAGTTTATAATTAAAATAAATAAACAAGAGCCCGAGCATTGGATGCAAAACCTCATAAATAATTGCCGCTTCGGTTCGACTGAGCGATTGAAAGGAACCGGAATGTATGCAACCTAAATTGAGGCATATCCGAGGAGGTCCTTTGAGAAAAGGCCGTATCATATCAACCGGAGTTCGAAGCGAAATCATGAGCAAGGATCCTCTCGGCCCGGTCAAATCCGCTTTGAATAACTGCTTATTGGAATGCCAAAAATGTTTCTGCCCGATAATCGCGCCATAAAAGGCTTAGCCAACTGCATAGTGGAAAAGGAGACACACTCACACGCGCCGAAACCACATTCCATATAAAATGTTAATTTATTGCCATTGTGGGCCATTCCACAAACGATGTTATTATGCAATCGCTGGCAAAACAAGATTCGGAAAAATGCCAGAACATACAAAGCGAATCGACTAAAATTTCGGTTTAAATGTGTTCCTATGGGCAGTGTGGCCCCCAAAATTTATGACAAACGGAAAACGTTTTGGTTAGATTTTTCGGCCGAAAATCAACAAAACGCAATAAATATTTTTGGGGCAAAAAATAAAGTAGGCATTGGGGGGACGCGAAAACAGTGTTCTGGCCCACTTATTGATTCCATGCGATGTGCCGCCTTGTCGACAGGATCTCGGGGAAATTGGCCCAAAGACAATACCCGAGCTGGCGGCCAACACCTGGTCGTACGTGACCGGGGCCAAGAATTTATGTGTGTCGACGGAAATCGAAAAACATTTTTTATGCACACATCAAATTTATGGCCCCCAAATATGGACCTCACCAGATAGCCTCGGCTCGCCCATTCCAGCATCCATTTTTGAGTTTCGCGACCTCCGGCAAGTCCCCAGAATTTCTCAGTCAAATATTTGCTCACAGAGCCAGTCCGCCGGCACAACGCGGCTCCTGTCAATCGCAAATTCCAAATCCCGGGGTGCGGGTCCGTCATTCAGTCATGTCCCCGCATAGATGAGTCCTGCTTTGTGCGCATACCCTCGTATGGGGTACTCGGAATTTTTCACTCATCATCAATTCTCCTACATCAAAGTAGTTTTCAACGTTGACTTTTACACATTTCATTGTGCAAGTTGTGATGGCGCTTAATGAAAGTCTGAAAGTATGCAACAAAATATTTTTTTAGTCCAAAAGTCTGTGGGCTTAATTACGAAAGTCGACGTTCTTTTTTTCATTGCATACTTTTAGAATTTTTTATTTTAAATACTTCAAAGTAGTAGCCATTTCTGTGCTTAGCCTTTTTAAAAATATATAGCTTTTAATGCTCTACTAGTTAAATCACTAACATTTAGACTTTCTAAATTTTTACGCACCTCGTTTTTAGTACCTATTTTAACCAGTTCAATATTTTATGTTTTAACATAGTTACAAATTAAAATAAACTAAATGTTTTTGTTTGAGAGCTTATTTTTCATTTATTAGCTTTATTTATCGAATTGTTCGTATTTAAATTATAAAACCATTTTTATAGAAATTTTCACGATAAAGCATAAAGAAAGTTCAAAGCTGATTTAAAGTTGAAAAATATTGATTTCGAATTTTGTATTGGAAATTTTGCTGCCAAAATAAGCACCCACAATCGAATCCCTTTTATCCATATAATCATTAATTGTCACAGTGATGGGAATTGTATTGCCGTGCTCATCTCTGGCCAAAATAGGAAAGGGGATTGTATCACTGCCTAATATATGATAAGGATGTGTATACAATATGGGCCTTGACCCCCCGTTCCGTCGCCTCCCCTGTAAGCACTCATTCAAATTTATACGTATGCCTAAACGCTGATTATGACAAATATGCCACGCTCCACTGGACATGCCACCCACTTGTCCAGCCCCCCTCCCCCTTGAAGCAAATTCCACCCACCACCCCCTTTTTTCTATAGAGGCTTATTATTTCTGTAGGCCTGTTTGTTTGCCAGCATTTTGTTTACTTTCGGTCAGTTGACGAAAATCCCAAAATAAATACAAGTTTTATTATTAGCTTGGGCAAAACAGGGGATCCCCAACAAATAGCCCAAAATAAAATGGAATCAAGGCAGGATTTCTGGCTCCATTCAGATGCCCACTAATGACACGCATACGACAGGCATACACATATAGTATATATACGTACATTTTCTATAGCCACGCACAGGGAGGGCGTGTCAACAATTATAATGTGCAAATTGTTTGATATGCGTGTGTGACGGTGTCACCTGCCACATTTGCTTTATTGCCGCTCATTAGAGATGCTCGACGAGCAGCAGGTGAACCCTTCTACCCTTCTACCCTTCCACCCACTATCCACTACCACCCATTCAACTTTTATCACTCCCCGATGTTTTACATGTTGCTCTGTTGACTTCCAGCACGTATTAGTTTTTCGCTATGGCCCAGCCCCTCATCAAATCCCTGCGATTTGACAGCAAATGACAAAAGATTTCCACTCGCCAGCTGCTACGACACTTTGATGAATGGGGTCAGCAAGTTGTGGCTGCCAGGACCTACGCCAGTGCCACATAGGGATACAAATGTTAAACGCTCCACCGATTCAGGTTCATCTGCAGACATTCACGCGCAAAAAATGTCAAACAAATTGGTCGGCAATATTGAACGTTTATTGTGCACTGACATAGTCATATTACCTCAACCCTGTTTTCAATAAATATTACAATAGGTTTTTGAAGGTGTAAAATACTTTTTAAAGTAAAAGCTAAATGGTTATGACTTTTGGAGTTAAAACAGCCCAACAAATACAGATAGCAGATAGCGTACAATATGTTTTAAGGAACGTGTTTTGGGATGCATTAATAATGATTAAATAATGGGATCAAATTGAGGGTTAATCATCGGGTTTTATCATAGAAAGAAAAAAAACTTATTGCATTTTTCAGTTTTATAAAAATTTATATTAAGGACAAATCATATTTCACATGTAGGCCTCAATATACAACTAATATGAGTTTATATTTTCATATTCAAAAACAATAAATATTCAAGGTGATAATAAAATTTAATATGATTTTGTAGTATTATCACAATCACTTGCTTTTAAATTCAGCTCAAAATATAAATTAGCTTTATTTTCCGCGATAAAGCGTTGATTATTCTACAAACAAATATGAGGAAATAAAAAACCTGTAATTGGATACCAATTATATCACAAGTGGCAACTGTAGTGAAAATAAATCCATTTAATTAATCGCGAGTAGAACAACGTGGCCATTGCTGTGTGTTGCAGAGCTTTGAACAATTGTTCAAGTGTAAATGGCTGGGAAATCATATTTCCATTTCACTCATTGTTGGCACTCAACCGAGGCTTAGGATTTCAGGGCTCCACTTGTGTCAGTGTTGATTGTTCTGGGCAACGGCGATTATATTGCGTATGCGATGCGTAATTGTCGGAATTGCTGCCGGACTGAGCCGTACAATCGCGCTAAGCCAACAATAGAAGGGTACTACGGTCTCCGGACTGCGTAACTAAGCCCCAAGGAGTCAGTCCAACAAAAAAAGGATTATTTTGATTATTCTGCGTGTTTGCCCAGTGGAAAGTGAGTGGGTGGTAAGAAGGCTGTTCATTTCAATGAACTTGCCTTTCAAACGAAATTTTATCATGCTTGGCCAGGCCGAGTTAACCATTTCGCATTTCGCTCCTAAAAAGTAACGCAACAATAAACCGAATGCATGAACTGAACAAATCTGAATTGAAATTTGCTTATGCCTGTGCCGCTTACCCTTATTTTCCATTCGCAGACATCCAATCCCTGTGGCTAACGAGCTGGCTCAGCGGGAGGACCAAGCGGAGCACCGGAGGTGGAATCGGAATCGGGAACGGAATCGGTGGAATCGAAGGAATCGTTGGCCACGAAAAGCGCTCAGTCAACGTTTACACGCTCCAGCAGGCGCATAAGTTTCCGCCTCAATTCGGCGGCGGTGGTAATTGCAATTTTGATTGCCAACGTGAGCTGGACAGGAACCATCAAAGCAAACCTTCATCGGTATCGGCATCGGCATCGTCATCCCGATTTCGCCAGCAATCAACACCTTCCGCGGCAACGGCCGAGGAAATCTACGAAACCAAATTTATTGAAAGCTCAATGGGTAAGCAAGAAAACAACACCCAAATATATAGCACAATCACAATCACAATCAGCAGACAGCAATAAGAGTTTAAATTAAATTTTCGCCTTTTCCCCGGCATTCACCCATTTCTAAATCCAAAAAGTTGAAACAGAAACGTCGTCTGCTGTTTGATTTCATTCCTAAATTTGCATAATTTTGTTAAGCAACCCAAAAAAGCCAGTAATCCAATCTTACACTGGAGGAAGCTTTTCAATAGGTCAGACTTTTCTTATGCCCAGAAATATGCATATTCTGTTTGATTTGAATATATTATTAGCCAAATAAAATGGTTAAATAGTAATTTTTAAATTAAAAAAAATAAGAACATAATTTGTATTTAACAAAAACCTGATTTTAACGGGTTTTAAAGAAAACTATTTGTGATCCCCAAAAATAAAATATATTAAATTGCTTTCCCATTATACAATACAATAAAATACAAATTAATCAAAACCTCTTTGCCGTTCTCTGTGCAGCAAAATAATACTAATAATCTGATTAATAGGAAGAAATTTTAAATAAATTTTTTAATCATGTGAGACCCTCGATGGAAAGTAAATGAAAACAATTTGTTATGCCTGAAAATTAAATATATATAATTTATTTAAAATACAATTAACATTAATCAAAGCCCCTTTAGAGCTTGACAAACTAAATAATTGATGGTTAATAAGAACATGTTTTATAAAAAGTACTTTTTGTATAAATAAATGGGTGATATAATTGAGACCCTGGTTTGATATAAATTAAAATAAAATGTATTAAATTGGTTGGAAATACAAATGAAAACCCCTTTGACATTCTCTGTGCAGCTTAACAAACTAAATAAGCTAACTAATGTGATTTATAAATTTGTGTCTTGTATAGATAAATAGATTATATATTTAGGTGATACCCTGGTTTGATGGGAATTAAACAAAAGATTTTTGTAATGCCTGAAAATAAAATATTTTAAATTGATTTGCAATACAATTAACATAAATCAAACCCCTTTTCAATTCTCGGTGCAGCCCAAACGATGGACGACATGGTCTTCCAGTGCAGCAATCAAAATTCGATTTATGTGCTTAATGCCAGCTACGGTGCATATGGGGTGAGTGCTTTACGATGCGGGTCCCGTGTCCACTCATCGGGCCATCCACTTGCACAACTATCTGAGCTTCTTTCGTCCTTTTTTGGTCCCATTCCCATTTCCTCTTCCCAAATATATATCTACCATCTTGACAGGACTATGGCACATATGCGGCAACAAAGCGTGAAATAAATGGCAGCCGGAGCAGAGCAGCGGCAAATCCAATTGAGGCAACTTGCTCGAGTGGCGTCCTGCAGCATAAATTCAAAACTTTTGGCAGTGCCGCAGCAGCGACAACAGCAGCAGCAACAGCAACAACAGCAACAGCAAACGCAATGGATGCGGCAGTGGGAAGCGCATCAAACTACGTAAATCCTGTCGCTACATCAATGTCAACCGCAATGTGTTCACCGGCAACGGCGGCCCTGCAAAAATTGTTCAATTGCAGCGTCGGAGTCGCCTGCCAAAATGTCACCCACGCAACCACCCACAGCAACCACAGCAGCAGCAGCAACACCAGCAACACAAGCAGCAGCAACATCAACGGCAGCAGCAGCAGCAGCAATAACAATAGCAACCATAACAATAGCTGCCTGTCAGCGGCAGGCGGAGTAACCCAAAACGGCCGCAATAGGAGCCGAAGTGGCGAAACGCTCGATGGCCCACCGGGTGTGGTTACCTCCACGGGATCTGGAGGAGCAGCAGCTGGAGGACCAGGACAAGGCGGACTCCCCCTCTTGCCAAAGAAGAAATGCACCAATGTCAAATCAGCGCTTATTGCCAAGAAGACAAAGTTTCTCAAATATCTCGAAGAGGAAAAATGGCGCAGCCACGTCGGAGCAGCGGAAGATGCTGGCGCCATCAGGTATGTAACAAACAGGCACTCAAAAAAACGTGATATGCACTCTGGTCCAAAGTAGCAGCAGCACGGTTAAAGGCAATATATTATTCTGGTTTAATTAGGTTAAGAACGTTTTTTAACATTTAAATCATTAAATTGCTACGGTTTCAGTTTCTGAAAATAAATCTTCTTATGTAAATGGGTATATGCTGAAGCCAAAGAAATCACTAGGTTTTTAAAACTAGTTTAAAATGTGCACAAAAGTATGCAACAATATTTTTAAAACCTAAAAGTCAGTTTGATTTACTTCGGAATACGGCCTTAGTTTTTATACTGCATACTTTTGGACACATTTTAAAATTAATATCAACCTTATAGGTTTTATAGATTTGCAGCTATTTTAAAATGCCTTGAAAATGTTTATATTTTATATTACAGGGTCTCAAAATTATAGTATTATTTTAAACTCATAATAATAAATTTTAGTTAATGGTCTACTGATTATGCATATCAATATATTTATACGTTTGCAGGAAATTTTTAGTATACACCCAAGGCACTCAATTATTTTTTTCACTGGCATATCGATCTGCTCAAATATATTTGTAATCTCAAAGTATTTTAAAAATGGGCTATCATACATTTGTTTGTATATTAAACTCCTGCATTAAGCTATAAACTATTTAGTGATCAGCGATTGCAAAATTTAATATTGACTTTTCGGAAAAACAGCAGCCACGTATTTATGTCCTTGCTTTTTCTTTTCTCCAAGTTCTTACATTTTCCCAATATTTTTTTTTACATTATACTTAAAGTGTAGTTATATGTTCCAGTATGTGGGTTACACTGTCAGCGGAGCCATCTTCTCGCCGCCGCAAAAACTTATAAATTCCCATAAATGTTATAAGGCATCTTGCAACGCGCTGCAAACTGTGGCAAGTTTTTATGATGGCAATCTGAGGAGACAAGTGGTGGTGCGGTGATGTGGTGGTGGTGCTGCTGCTGCGGCCTTAGTTGCCATGCCAAAGTGGTTTCTCATTAAGTTGATTGAGAGCTGAGCGAATTCCAGCAGTTCCAGGCATTCAATTATTTCTTAATTAATTATTGAAGTGCAGCAATTGTCGTTAGTTGCCACTTGCTTGCGAGTATATCATTGGGTGTGTTTCCTTATATCGATTAGACATTGCTCATCTCTCTCCCATGGGTGACTTCTTAATGGCCAAATGTGCTTTTCTTGTTTTTGCTGCAGCTTTTAAGCGCATTCAATTATCTGTCAGCGGACACTTTGTTGTAAGGGCAGAAGCGAAAACTTTGCCGCGTTGTTCATGAAGTCATAAGTTTTGATCATCATCGCTTAGCAAAGTTGTTCACCCCATTTTCCTGCTGCTTTTCCGCATTTCCAGCATTTTCCGCCCAGCAGTCATTTGCGAAATTGAAAAATTAACGCGCTCGGCATAAACATAAAGCGTGGCAAAAACATTTGGTGCTTAAGCAGGGCTTAAAAAGTGGATTAAAACGTCGACGGGGCCAGCTTATAAATGTACATATTGAAGTGCAATAATCATATTCTGGGGAAACTCAATTCCCAAGTTGCACTTACAAGTTATATAGAGCCCCCGCCGACATCACTCATACGCAAAGTTTTCGAGACCCACTCCCCCTTTCGGTTATCCTCTTTGTAATAATCATGTCAAAAGTTCGCTCACTGAAAATTTGTGTCGGCAAAGGCGGCTGGGAAAATTTCATTAATTGCATCAGGAAAAAAGGGCGGGTATTCGCTTTGATTTATTAGTACCCTGTGCGCATTTAATTAGTAAACGTCAGCTCGGGCAAAAAAAATGCAGAGTTTTTTGCCCGCTTTCCCTCCTCCCTCTCCGTTCTTTCTTAGGCATTTTCACGGCGGAAAATTCTCGGGCGCACATTCATCAACTTTCTGGATGGCGACACCAGCGCAACTGACAAGAATGACTCCGCCAACTTGTGTCGCAAAATAACTGCGCAAATTTGTTGTGCAAAGTTACTTACTTTTGCATTTTTTGTGCAGTCTGCTTTTCCGCTGATGCGATTTAAGAGCTCTCCAGCTCGCATTTAAGCCAACCAAAAAGGTGGCTTAATTTATTGTGGCCACTAGCTGGAAATGCTGCTGGGACAATGTCCGATTGTCGCCGCAAATTAAATGGCTCGCTTTGTTTTCATTTTCAATTTGCTCTTTTTTTTCTGCCCACCGGTGCACCACCGTTGGAAATGAAAAGTTGCAAAACTGCTGGAGCGTTGATTTATCGCTTTCATCGATCGACTTGCCTTTGTTATCGCTCAGTCTTTGCTTTGGCTCTTTTCTGCTTCCACCTTTTATTTATTAAATATTTTTCACAAAAGTTCCCATCCAGTTATTTAAAAACGCTGTTCTAAAATCATCCAACCAATCTTTAAAGGTGTTGGTATTACTTTAAACAGATTATAGGGTGGAAGAAGAAGCCGAAGCTGGATTATTATTTACAACAAAATGAAATCCTTTTGAAGCTGGATTATTATTATTTGTAATATTATTATTTATAGTAATACAGATTTTTGTGTTACTTTAAGCAAATTAAGTTAGATGAAAAGTACAGAAATACATTAAAAATGGAATTAAGGTTGAAGATATAGAATACCAAACAAAATTAAAATGTTTTGAAGCTGGATTATTTTTATTTATAATAATAAATCGTTTCATACTTTGGGAATGCCAACAGGGGCTAAAACAAAATAAGCCAACTAAAACACTTTGGTGAATGGAATATTAGTCGGATCGATATGAAATGTGGATGGGAATTAGGAGCACAAAGGCTTTGTGTTCATGTCAGAATATTCGTTTTTTTTTCAATGCTGTGGCTGCTGCAGAGTTTAGCATATTGGTTTATTTTCTAGTATGCAACTGATATACAGGGGTTTAATTTCAATGTACTGTGCACATCAGTTACCATATCCCTGCCCTGGGCTACCATCCCTTCTCCACTTTATATCAATTTGCATGAGGTGAAGGGGAGGAGGTGGAACTGAGCTCCACTTCCTGCTCCTAAACCGCCTCCTCCCCCTCCTCTTCGTCCTTTATAATCGCTGCGAGTCCTTCCGCGCCACTTGCAGCCATTTGATACGCGTTTAGTTTAGTCAACCAAAAGCTAAATAAACTTTCATTTAACATGCTCGACAGCAATGAGGCAGAGCCACCCAGCGGAAACAACTTGAAAAATCAGAGCAACAGTCGGGAGGCTGGAAATGGAAATGGGAATGGGTATGGAAGTGCTGGTGGTGCTAGTGTTGGCGGAAGGCAGCTGAATAAATTGACCAACTGGAGCGTGCATAATGAGGACAACAGCACAGCAACGCTGACCAACAACCAACAGCAGCAACAGCAACAACAACATCAAGAACAACAACAACTACAACAGCCGGGGAAATCAAGTTTCGAACTTTACCAGGAGGCAGCCGACATTTTGGGCCTGAGTTGCAGCCTCTGTGATAATTGCCGATGCCTGGACTGTCAGGTGAGTGACAATGGGAATAATGGGATACACCATTGAAGGGGTCTCCAGGATGCAAACTGGTCCACAGCAGTGAATAGATTGAGGTTCGGTCCTAGTCATCACAGATTTAGCTTTGATTCAATGGCTCTAATTACTATTAACCTTTTTTTTTCTGTAAATAACATATATTGTCTCAATCTTATTTGTTATGAATGACTTGATTCACTTAAAAGTAATCACTAAGTAGGTTTAAGCTTTAAGCTTTAAGTCAAAATAAATAGTTATATACGTGAAAAATTATTTTTCAAAGATTTAATTAATCATGCAGATATTTTATTTCCTCTGGCCTAAAACAATTTGCTAGAAGTTAAATATTAAATAGTCAAGCCCTAACGAAAAAAGTAGCGTTAGCGAAAAAGAAGAAATAAAGCTACCATCGAATATCGAAAACTGGTTCTTAAGTCTTACTTACAGCTCTCCTAAATCTCTTAAAAATTATAAACTATTCACATCATGGAACTTGTGATATCTTTAAATAAATGCCTTAGTGATTGATATATATGATTTTTTTTCCATTGAGGCTGTCCCAAATGCAATACATTTTGTCTTCCTGTAGTGACAGCTCTCCTTAAACACGGCCAATCATTGGCTCAATCTTGAGCACAAACTAACCCATCTTCAATTTACTGCCCCACCACACAGAGCGGTTACTTTGACTGCGACGACGACGATGAGAGCTACTCTGAGCAGTCGCTGATGGACGACGAGTACGATGAGTTCGACTGCAGTGCGGAGGAGCTACAGGCGGTGATGACAGGAGCTCGGGAGGGGGGGATGTGCCCCCGATCCGGATCCCCTGCTGTCCACTCGACCCCAACTATGACGAGGTGCACAAAGGGGATCCGGATTCCCGTTCACCGGACTCACACACTCCGCCGGAATCTCTGGGACATCGGTTGGCCATCGATTTTGATTTAATTAACGCCACTTGCAGCCAAGTGCTGCAAAATTGTGAAACATTCAACGAATTGAGTCTGCTAGATGCTGCCACCGGATCAGAGCGTCCTTTCACGTAAATCCAGGTAGGTGTAGGTGTACGTGTAGGTGAAGGTGTGCAGAATGCGAGTATTACGTGTGTTGTCTGTGGGGCATTTTGTGAATTCCTGAGCGCTGTATGACAACCATTTCTCTGGGGGCTTTGATTTCACCTGTCGCTGGTCAAAGTGCTTTCCATCTATCTAACCAGGGATATGGTTGCTGGCCAAAAATCCAGTGCGGACTCGCATTCGCACTCGCAGATTGCTATAGCAATTTCTCATTCGTTTCCTGGCAGCGAGAGTGAAACTGAAATTGGGGTTTATGCAAAAATGGGCAAATTGCATTTTATTCGAGGAAAACGTAGCCAAATAAAAGGAAGCTGAATGTCGACTAAAAGCTACCCTGTTTTTCTGGAAATACTGTTTGGTGAGTGGATAAATTCGGATTAAACACTACTATTGTTTCGTAAAATTTAACAATTTTTAAAATGTTAAAATAAAATTTTTGTGGTTTTAAAAGAAGGCCTAAAATAACAGTTTTTCAGTATAGAAATGAATCTTTAAAGCTTTGGAGTTATATTATTTATTATTATATAAATACTTCTATTATTGCCTATTAAATGAATACCTTTTTAGCATTAAAATAAATAACTGCCTGTGGTTTATTAAAAACTAAACTTTCATTTTTAGGAAAACTTGCTTTTGTTTGTAAATTTGAAGTAATTGTACAATGAAAATTTGAATTAAAACAATTTGTCATTATTCTTAAAGTGCTATTTATAATATAAGAACAACATATATTGTGATGCATTCCATTGGCTCTCATTAAAAACATAGTTATCTTTTCAAGAGTTAATAAAAGTCCACATTCCAAATTTTATTACCCAAAATCTAATGGGTTCAGGAATCCTTTTGTCCATAAATCATGAATACTTTTAAGGACCGTAAACACTGTAGTAACTGTTATACCCTTGAACTCAATGAATGCCGGGTACAAAAATGCCGCTGAGTTGGCAAAGCTTAGCCCAAAGCCTGGCCAGCGAAATTCTGGGGGGGATTGGGTGGGTGGTTGGACCACAACAGTGGCAAAATGGCCTGGCACTTGGTCAGTTTATTGCATTTAGTCAAGTTTCGCCGTTTGCATGGACGATTGCTGGCAACAAATGAAATGCGGTGCTCGGAGGTTGCATAAATGCAAAAACTGGGGTGTTGCAGAGGCTGTGGGCCAGCTAAATTTGATTTTCGCACATCCACACACACACACACACACTTTCGGAAGCAGGAAATTTTCCATATTTGTTGAGGGCTCAAAGCAATATGCAAAACATGCACTTCCGTTTGTTTTTTCCCCTTGCCATTTTTTTGTTTGTTTTGCATTAAACTTGCCATGCTGCTCTCGTTTTATATTAAAGGACTTTTTGTTTGCTCGCTTATTCAATTGAAATGCAATGCAGGCCAACAAAGAGCACAAAACCCAAGCGGAAACTATGAAAAATTCATTGCCATCAGAACGGCAAGCGGCAAAAATGGCAAATCGAGAGCGGAACTTAAATCGAATTACATTTACCAAATGAAATTTAAAGAGCCGCTCCTTGCCAAGTGAATAATGACTGCTACAAGCGGTGGCAATAAATAGGATGCTCCTCGTCTGGCAATCCTCTATCCTCTATTTAGTCCCCCGCTTCCCCCCTCGCCCACACATTCCCTTTCCTTCCCATTTTCGCCATGCTCCGCTGCTCGCTGGCAGCCAAAGCGTCCAAAGCCTACCATCTAAGCCCCGGAGGCTTAATGTCTACAATGATGCACTGGAAACCATTTTTTGGTCCTGATGTTATAAGTTGTTTTATTTTGAAACCCTAAAATAAACTTTAAATATCCGAATTTATTCTCTTACCTTATTTCCAATGTTAAAATTACACTGGATATTGCATAATTGCAAAGATTATTAAAAGTTCCTTTGACGATATTGAGAAAGCTTTTAAAAAATTAATAGAAAAAGGTTTTAACCTGCATTAAGAGATTATCTTTAGCCAAATTATTAATAATATTTAATTTCTTCTTATAGTTTTTAAACAACTAAATCATTTTACTCATACCAGTTTATCTTGTGTAATCGAATTGTATTGCTTACCGAAAGAGAACATACATTTTTTTTCAGTGCACAATACTGCGCGTAACATGTTGCCAATGTGTGTGCTCGAATATGTGTGTGTGGGTGTGGGTGTTGACCAAGTGCATTGGCTGTTGTTTAACCTTCTCCCAAAAGGAGCAGCACCCGAGAGCTGCGCCAGCTGTTGGAGCTTTTGGAGCTGTTGGAGCTGTTGGCCACTTGCCAGGCGCCCAGTGGAATTCCGCTTGGCTGGAAGACAATGCACTTAAAGGGGATGCTGGCCCAAAAAACATGGGCTCCGGCTCACATCGCTCTGCCCATGTCAGCTACTTATGCAATTTCTGCCCACGGGGCGCTGGGCGCTATTGAAAAATCATTTTACCTTAGATTTTCCGACATGGCCAATTGGCCATGTTGGCCACCTTCACACACACACACACACAGAAAGCCATTTAGACAGTAGCGCCAGCCATTAAACCATGCTCACAAAATTTAATTTTACGCAATGGCCATAGAAGCTAAAACATTTTGTGTGCAGGTTTTTATTATCAATTTACCATTTCAACAGTGGTCGCCATTTCATGGCTGTCCTAATGCCAATAAAACTAGCATAAACCTTTACGTTGCACAAGGGCAGAAGTAAATGATAAAATAATGGAATGATAATAATAATAAATAAATGATAATAATAATAAATAAATCAGTTTAAATTATAAAAAAATTTATCTATAAAGTCTTTTTAAATAAATTGAACAATTTTAAAAAAAAAACTATCCATCCAAATAGATTTTAGCCAAAATATTTGAACAATTTTATAAACTGTTTTGTATAAAATTTTTTAAAATAAATTGTTTTTTGCTAAGGAATTAAGGAGCAAGTTAAGGAACAATGAAATAGTTATGTGCAGCTTAATTGAATCATTCTGTCTGATATAATTCTTTTTAGTTCTCGATAAGGTATTGTATATAAATGGTGTTTAGACGTGCGGCTTTTTAGAAAAAATAAGCAGTAGACTGCTGTTTATTTTTTTTTGACAAATCATTAATTTTCCAGCTTTTCTCCCAAGTAGTTTCTCAGATTAATGAACGCCAGTTCCCCTAAATCAAACTTTTAAGTCCCTTGCGGTCTGCTATTGACGGCCAAACCAAGCTAAAGTGCTCCTAACCACGGTGCACTGCAAATCCGAATGCAATTGCCATTAGAGTACGACCGCAGTACGCCCACAGGCCACGCCCCCGCTTAATGAGGCTTGATTTAATTAATGCCGCATTACCTACGTGGCCGGAGGATGAAGTCCCTGACTGGCGGACCCCGGGGTCCTGAATCGGGAATCGCAACGGCCGGATGGCAATTGGAAATTGGATGTGGCTGGAGGGGGACAGTGGGGAGTGCAGTGGAGCGGCGACAGGATGAACCACATTGCCATTTGCTGATGATGATAATTTATTGCCCCGAAGGGCTTACAGAGGCACCATGCCCCCCCCCCGTCTTGTTCCCCTCCGACAACTGCGACTCCTTGGAGGAAACGATTTCCGTTTGGGCCTGCTTGGGGCGGCGTGGGCAAATATTTGCCATGGCTTTCTATTTCCCCAGCCAGGCCAAACAAATTGTTTACAATATTTATTGTTTGTTCGACGTTCTGCGGCCGTTGACAATGATGAAACGGCAACTTGGGCGATGGAGCCGCCCAGTCGGGAAATCAGCGCATGTGACTTGACCAAAGCAACGGGCAAAGGACTTTCCGCTCCAAACTGGAAAAGTCTGGGATGTCTGGGATGTCTGGGTCACGACAATCGGACGGCAATGGCGTCAATGCTCATTTCCGTCGACATATTTCCATTTCCTTTTTTCTTCGACATTTTGCTTCGCTTTCGCTGGCTGTTTGTCCAAGGATTACCAGCAGCTGGCACTCCTTCCGCAAGTCCGACGTCCTTCGCGTTTCGTCCTTTGCGCAAAGTGTAATTCATTAAACTTTATTGTCCAGCTCCCTTTCGTCTGAACTCGCTTTGAGTTCGACTCCAGTTTAATTTGTTTTGGCGGCAGGAAAACCTCATTTATGGCCCTTGTACAAACACAGCAACTTTTAAGCGTATATTTAAAAAACAAAGCACAGAAAACAAAAAACAAAAAACGCACACAAAATCATAATTAAAATTTTCAATAAAATCTGCGTAAGCATGGCGTAAAACAAACAGAACCGCCTTTGTTGGCTGCCTGCTAATTATAAATTATAATTTTCCCGATCCTTTTGTTGCCGAAAATTAATCTTAATGAAATTATTCAAACAAAAGTTTTGTGCAATCGCTCGGGCGGCGGTCGCATTTTCCTGCCCGCCGGCAATTAATTTCGCTCAACATTCATGGACAAAGTGAGAGCACGTTTCGATAATGAAAGCCGCCAACGGCCACGCCCCCCGCCCCACTCGTCACGCCTCCTACTAATTGTGCTAACAACTTGATTCCAGCTGAGCAACTTTCCACACTCGAAAAAAGCCTACACCACATAAAAGTGCCAGGACGAAAGTTTCTACCCTTTTTCCCCGTTTTGGCCAGCCCCCAAATGTATGCTATCTAATTGTTAAAGCATCGAGCAAATGCCACAGAATCAAAGCAGCTCCCCTCCCCTCTGTCGAGATGAAAATCAGATACGACCGCTCTTCAACTGCAGTTTCATAAATTTGAATTTCAAATTTAATACACACACACACACGCATGGGAAGAGGGGGGGAGGATTGGGGAACATAAGTGCCACAGATTCGACTCCCAGATACCTCAAAATTTAATTTTGAGCACAGGCTCAAAATCTAGATTTACGTGCTGACAGAGTGACAGGTGGTCTGATATCTGCAGCCTGTTGCTGACATCCAACTGAACTGGCAAATAGTAATGGATTGATAATTATTTCTAATTATGCAAGGCATTATGCTTGCACAAAATATCAGTTTACTTTATCATCTTTAAGGAAAACCTTAGCAAGTATTTAATACTCAATTTAAATATTTTATAAATTGCTACATATTTGTTCATTATTTAATATCAACATCTCATTTCAATGTAAACTTTTTTAACTGATATTTAAAAATGTATATTTTTCACTGTAATACAAATATTTTAATAATAAAAAACTTAGCAAATAAAAGTATTAAATACTCAACTTGAATATTTTTGGCTTTGATTTTACTCAATTGCGGTGTTTAGTTATTTTAAATATGTCAATATTAAATTTTTGTTCAATATTTAAATTGTCTTTTTCGGAATATATTATATGTTATATCTGAAATATCTCATTTGAATGTAAACCTTACTTACTTGATACACATAAAAATAAGTAATACATTTTAATATTTAATTTTAAATACTTTATGCATTGTGATATATATTATGATTTTATATTTTACTTAAAAAATCAAAACGAAATTTGAATTTAAGAGCTGTGTATTTTTTTTTTTACTATGCCTTGCTTTTAAGTAATATTATTTAATTTTAGTGATCTTTTAAAATAATGATTTTAAAATAAACAACAATGAATGGGTATATACCCATCATCGCTTTTGGTTAAAGCGCCTGCCACAAAGCAAAGTTTTCTCTCGATTCTAAAAGTTGTAAAGTTGTATCCTTATGCAAATTGATTTGTGTCGTGTGTTTCTGCTACAATTTCCACCCAGTCTCACCTTGTGCGTGTGGTCTCTGGTATTCGTATGTATTTATTTGATAAAGGTTTTCTATGGCTGACACTTTCAGTTTACATTGTTAACTTGGAGGCAAAACAAAACTATGTTAACATAGTCGGGGATAAATTAATTAAAATGTCAACGTGAATTTATCTTTTGATACCAATTTACGTGTGTACAGAACTTGACAAAAGTTGTATGTTTTTTGAAGATGGGGGGATGTCTTTAAGAAAGCCACCTGACAGGCATAATTTAAGCCAAACCCACAAAGAGTAGGTTTATGAATCTTTTATGAGCACAGACCTTGCATAAAAATTAAAATAAATTTCGTGTGTGATTTTAATGGGAGGGTGGGCCTGCATATGCATATATTTTCACTTAGCCATAGAGTAAACATGTCGCCCAGCCATTTATTTACCTTTCCTTTCCCCCTTTCTATTTACACAGGTGACGAACTAAAAGGACTCGGACTCTGCAGCTAATTAAAGTTTAACAATGGTCAGGAGCCCATTAATTGCATCTGACACCTCTTACAGTGGCTGCCAATTGTATGCGTACCCGCCCCTGGTGTTTGTGTTTCATTTATTTTCTTATTTTGATTTCAATTAAGTTCCGATGCAAACGGAGAACGAGGAATGCTAAAAATGTTTTACTGGTTAACAGGAAAGCTTTCGCTGCCATATATCCTATATAAATACGCAATATATAATATATACTTGTGTATATAGTTGATCAGTTTGCAAACGCGTGACAAAATATTCAAACACACACTCACACACAAATCGTAAATAAATTAATTGCGATTGGCGATTGTCGAATTGCAATTTCAATTTCAATTGAGACGGCGGAAATTCAATTGCAGCGAGCACTAGCGAAAATCCGAAACGTTTCCATCGATTATCAGTAAATATAAACCACATATGCAAAAACAATGAAATACAAATAGTGCCAATTTCATATTCATATATGAATCTATTCGAGTTGCAATGCAATGCAAACCAAACCAAAACGAAATACAAAGGGATTATGTAGCCAACAAAACTATTTAAAAATTCAATAAAATATGTATCTCTGAATCTATGTACGATAAAGGCTCGATGTTGGTAGTGCTTAAGTATTTAAGAATTTTCGTGTGATGCTTTTTATTCGTTCAATTGATTTCAAATCAAAGAGAAACATTGGAAATATATTTGTGTTGGAAAAGAACGAACTCTGTCTGCGGATTCCTTTTTCTTGTTGTTTTCTTTTTTCAAGGTTCAAAGGTCGTTCCTTGGCCGGAATGCGAAGGCACACAAAGCCAAAGCCATTAGCTTCAATTAAGCGTTTAACAACTGACGACTGACGGGCAGAATCCGGCGATAACAGCCGGCACAAACATTAAATGCAATCTGGCCGAGATAACTGGGCCTGCACCATCCGAGAGTTGGCCATTTGGTAAGTGGCAGTCAGTTGGCCCAGTTCGCTCATTAGTCTGTCTGCCAGGAATCCCCTGCAAGCGAAGACAAAGGTGCTAAAAAGTCCATCAAATGCTTAAAACGTAATCAGCGTTTTGGCCCAGTGTCGCCATATCTTATCGCTTTGACATGTGCCTTAGGCTTTAGAGTGAATCACGGTTAACGCTTTTGGCCAAAACAACTCATCTTGTGGGTCATTTCAACCGAAACATGGATCATCTGGGGGCCCTACTACTGGCCCTCTGCGTCTTCAGCTTCCTGCTCTTCCTGCTGCGCGTGAGTTCGCCCCATCTTGGCCAAGTTAGTACATCTCGCCAAGTATCGAGTTTCGTTTTTCAGGTGCTCCTGATTGCCTGCCGCTCGTTCCCGATGTCGCTGCGCCTAAAGGAGGAGCAAGGTGAGTGGGCAAACATAAATATTTGCCCCAGTTGGGCCACTGAACTTGTTCTTGAGATGAGTGAGAGAACGAGAGGGTTTCCCTCCCCGCGCTCCATAAATCATGGACGACATTAATATATATTTATGCGAGTGTTCCGACATATATCTATTTGCGCACATTTATCATATCGCCGCCTCATTAGATAAATTGCGAACGCGAACACGAACAAAACACAAAGCCCTGGCTCGACACTGGTTTTGTCACCTTATCAGCTAACGATTACAAAGCAAATATGTGTGTTCTTGGTTTTGGTTTGGGTTTTTGGCCTGCTGTCTGACCCATGCCCGGATGTCCTATCAATTTCGGTGGCCAGTAGTGCAGGTTAGTCGGGTTCGTCAGTTTGTCGGAGAACGGTTGTCTTCAACTTCAACAAAATCGTATCGATCAGCGCGTAGTAAAAATGGCACCTGCCTTAAACACAACGGTCAGCCCTCTTTTAAGTAATACTACTTCCGTGCTTAACACTACTACACTTTACACCACTGAAGCTACTATTCCGCCATCGGAATTCAATTACACAACTATCACCATTTATGTCGACGATGGTCCATACATGTTCTTCTATCCCAGCTATGTAGTTTACGTTGTGCTGGTCTTCTTCTTTGTCATAGCCTTTCCTTTGGCCATGATTTTGGTAAGCCTATCCCATAAACGAGTCACCCTTTCCTCCTGCTAATGATTAATCCGTTCTGTTCCGAAGAGCGCCAAACGCAAGCGGGAGGCAGGTGCCCGGAATCTCGCCCAGCAGAGACAACGAGGTAAGATTCCCTTTCCAGGCTCGTCCAGAGTTTTTGTACTTTTAATTTGGGGAGCCACACTTAGACTAAAAAACCTGCTTGAGTGCTTCGAGGAAACCGAAATTGATCAGTCCCAGGTAGAGGTAGTAGCAGTTGAGCTTGAGCAGCTCCCATCGCTCGCGCACCCGCAGCCAGAGGATTCGCGAGGAGGAGCCGGCTGAGCCGGCGGCAGCCTGTTGGGAGCGCTGTTCGGCGTACGAGGATTGCACACAGCACTTGGACATGACCCAGAAGGCGGTCATGCGGTTCTGGGTGCGCAGCGTGGACTCGATGCCGCGGATCAGGTCGTTGGTCTTCAGAATGAGCAGCATTTGGCGGTCCACCTGCTCCAGAACGTCGGAAATATGCGGCAGCACCAGCGAAGTGTTGTTCTGCAGCGTGTTCTTCTGTGGAATCATAGGAAATCATAGCTTTGAGTAAGTCGAGGGGGAGCAGCTTAGTTTCGAACGCACCTCTTCTTTGGAATATTTAACTTTGGTGAGGCCCTGCATCACCGTCTCCCAAGGACGTCCCGTCACCATGCACGCAAACAGACCATAAAGATCGCCCTGGAAGTGGGAATATAGATTAGATGGGTTAAGGTTCGACTGCATCACCCAACTAATTTACCTTGATGCCCAGCTGCTCGCTGTGCAGCCGCATTGCCTTGCGATCCACATTGAGAATGCTTAGCCAGAGTTTGGAGTAGTCGTACCGGAACTTGTCCGTCAGATTGGCATACAGCCCATGGTCCAGCAGAACGATTTCCAGGCTGTCCTTTGGCGTGCGCCGCACCAGGATGTTGCCGGGATGCGGATCGCTGTGCACGAAGCCGGTGCGGAAGATCATCTCGGAGTACAGCTGCCCGATGCGATTGGCCACCGCAAAGGTGTCGATTTTGTTACGCCGGATGTAGTCGAGGTCCGTGACATGACCACCCTCCAGATACTCCATGACTAGGACGCGAGACGAGCTGTATTTCCAGTAGATCTTGGGCACCCGCAGCCAGGAGTACTTCTCGAACTGCTTGGCCACCTTCTCGGCGTTGCGTCCCTCGTTGAGGAAGTCCAGTTCGATGGGCAGGTTCTTCTTGGACTCCTCCACCAGCCAGTGGATCTTGAAGTCGGGGAATATGCGCGCCAGGACATTGACGGCCAGTTCCATGGTCTTCATGTCCACGCGAGAATTGCCCTTGACATAGGGATGTTGCACCTTCACGGCCACCACCTCGCCGCTTTTGAGTCGCGCCTTGTGCACCTGGGCCAGGGAAGCAGTGCCCAGGGGCTCCCGCTCGAAGCTGTCGAAGATGTCCTCCGGATTGCAGCGCAGATCCTGCCGAATCACCTTGTACAGATCCTCGATGGGGTTCTGCGGCGCATCGGAGTGCAGCACCTTCATGGTCTGCACGAACTCCTTGGGCAGCAGGTACTCCAAGGCACCGATGTGCTGGCCCACCTTGATGTAGACGCCCTTGTTGATGCATATCAACTGCAGCAGCTTCTCGGCGGCTATCTTGTGGACGCGGCTCTTCGCCGCCTTGTACTCCGACGTCTCCTTATCCCAATCCCTGTAGTAGAGCTCCCGCTTGTAGGTGAGTGCCACGTCCACGACGGCGGCGGCGGATCGGGACAGCCGGACGATGCCCAACGAGTTGGGATCGTAGTCATTGGTGTGCAGGCTCCAGCCGGCGGAGGCCAGTCCGGTGCCCACAATGCCGTAGCCCAGAACGCGACGCAGCAGCATCTCCTCCTCCGGCTGAAATACAGAGATTGTTCAGTCTGGTGGTCCGAGAAGAAAAAACCAACAGGTGTCAGTGGCGATTAACCTTGGCGCTTTCACCTCCGTTTAAACGCGCACTTGGTACTGAACTACGGAGTCGCTGAGTCACACTTTGCACTTTGCCCTCTGGCAAACTGAATTTGGGCAAATCGCACACACTTAACCTGTTGCAGCTTCGCACACATTTTCATTTACATTTTCCACATTTACATTTCCCACATGCAGCGACGCAAACTTTCACCTCGGCGATTTGGCCCGCGCCATTATGTAAACACCTGAATGAAGGTGAGCCGATGCTCACTTTGGAATACCTGCCAATAGTTTCACTTACTCGATTTTGTGCGCTTCAGGTGGCGCCGCGTTTTTGACGGCGCGTAGGTGTTGTAATAACAAAGTCTGTGATTAAATTGAAGCGCCTCCGACTTTTTCGTGGCGCCAACAGCTGTTCGGCTGACGTCACAGCAGCTGATCCAACAGCAAAGTTCAAGGGCGTAGCCAGGGTCTTACGGAAGGGGATTGAGTTAACTGAAAATATTAAAAACATTACTTTATTAAAGAGGATAGCCTAGGTGCATACTTAAAACAAGAAATTTAAATCATTGGTTCACGTTTTGCATAATCCCTTTTTTATAGTTGACTACGCCCTTGGCTAACGGCTAGCGGTTAACATAAAGCGGTTAGCAGAGCAAAGCAATTACTGTTAATTTAAATTGGAACTTTAATGTATTCAACTTTTATTTGATTTGATGATTATTTAAATCATTAATTGTAAGTTATTTTTGTATTACATATTATATGCCTTTTGCAAGCTAAATTTGATACTCATCTGATTTAAAAGACAGTTTATTTTTGTTCAAAATTAAATTTAAATATAAAGTTTAATAGTATTTGTAAATGTAGTATAAATATAAGTACTAATTAAACTCTTAAATATATTTTTATAGTTATACATCCTTATAACTTAGTTTTTAATTCTAAGTTTTGTTTGCTTGAAAAAGAAAATAATCTTATTGTAAAGTTAACTAATTTAAAAAAAATTGTAGTTATAAAAGTAAAATGAGGGGAGGCATTTCTAAAATCAAATTGATCTCCCTTTCTCCCGCAGCCCGTCGCCAAATGGAGATTAATGTGACGAACAGTTGCAACGGCGGCTCCGGCGGAGCCACCAACGCTTGCATGACCACCCAGGACGAGGTAACTGTGCTGCCCAAAACCTTGGATCTGCCGCCCAGCTACGATGAGGCCGCTTTCAGCGATCGAAAGCAGGACAGCACCCTGACCATAGCCACCAGCTTGGAGGCGAGCAACCCCAATTTGGCGGCTGGAATCAACGAACCACCGCCAGTTTACGAGGCAAACGTGGCCACCACGACCACATCGACCACCACCACCACCGTGTTTTTGGTCAACGGCCAGCCACCAGTGGTGTAACTCGGAAATGCGTTTCACAGAAATCTTACATTATTCTTATTTCTACACCTTACAAAACACCTGTACAGTTTTGCTATGTAAATAAACTTTGCTCCTCGAAACTTGTTTTTATCCAGCCCCACCTATATTTACATTGTTCCCGGTAAGATGAGTGATTGCCGCAAATTAATTCTGAGTTCTGACCAACCTAACACTACTTAAAAGACAATACCAGGAAAAATTGCAGGGATCGCAAATAAACCTAGTAACTCAAAAGCTTTATACACGAAACTAAACCAATTTTAACATAAATAATAAAGGCGTAGCTAACAAAATGACCACAGGGATTAGCAACGCAAAATTTCGTCAAGTTTAGGTCCCCATCGGCCGTAGGGATCTTTGGGAAGAATGAATATATTGTCGCACCACGTGTAGCCAAGAACGCGATTCTCGACGATCATTTTAAAGGCAGGACTTTCATCAATGAGGTCTCTGTAGTTGTCGTTGGAAACTACGGCAGCATTCCATTCGTATGCCAGCTGCAAAATGAAGCTAAAAACGAATAATATAAGTGGCATTTTCCTGTAGCAAAAAAAAGATAATCTATAAAGCTCACCGATCATCGTAGCTGGATGACATTTGACCAGGAAGATTTTTGCATGGCGTAAAAACTATCTTGCCCTCCTTGTGCAACTTGTCCAAAAGCTCGGGATTTGAGGATTTATAGAAGTTCTTCCGAAACATTGGCACTACAGCCTTGCAATTGTGGCCCATTTTGTCGAAGTATTGCAAGCAATACATTATTCCCTCCGAGGAAAACACATTCGAATTTCCATGGCTGTTGGCAAAATATAGAATAAATATACAGATAATCGAGAGTCTGTTGGAAAAAACTTACGCAAAGGCCACATTGCTACCGTCAATGATAATAGACCTCTTGTTCGTTTTCGGCTTGCTACTGGTCTCTCCTGTCTCCTCCGAAGGATTAAATGTGTTGCTATTGTAGTCTCCAAGTTTTTTCTTTTCGGCAGTGGTGAAAAAGCCGTCATTCATCCGGCCGCTTTTCTCTTTGGTCTTTTTCTCAAGCCTTGTGCTCCTCCCTTTCTTTTTGCCCTTCACTAACGGCGGTGAATATGATGGAAGTGGTATGTAATCTTCTCCACCAACAAACCCAATGGTGTCCTCAATATTAATTACTGAATCGTTGTTGTCTGCAACTGGACTGGGCACTCGTTCCGGGCTATCCACCAAGTTGATGGTGGACTCTGCCTTCGTGATGGTTGAGTATAAAACTTCATTGTCTGATTTGGTTTTTATACGCAAGGCAGCCTCTCTTTTGCTATCTTCAACTATCTTCGGTGTTGTTAGAGACTCGGCGCGACGCTGGCAAGCCTTAAAGATTTTATCACTTGTGCAGGGCTCATCATCGCTATCATCGCTTTCATCGCTATCATGGCTATCACCTTTATCTCCATCATCATCATCAATGTTTATGGAGACATTTGGAGTCTCCAGCAGCACGCAATCATCATCGTCGCTGCTCGGTAACTCCTCGATGATTTCACCGTCTTCAATTGTGTCATTTCGATGTTTGAAAACACTTTCAGCGATCTGTATTTCAAAGGAAATAAGCATATAAACAAAGTACATAATATTGCTGAAAACGTTTACCTTTTGCGGCCTGTAGAACTTTGGTTTCGGCAACAGGGGATTCTTTTTCGGTGACTCTTTGCTACGAAAGTCCAATCTGCGCTTAATATTAGGGTTTTTTTGTACCTTGTATTTTTTCTTTATCGAGCTGAGCAGTTTTGATATCACTTCGCGATCACGTTTCTTTTTTTGAATAGCCTTGCGTTGTAGTCTTTTTGGTGAGTTCTGCAAAAGATCGCATGCCATTATTGGGTTATCTTTGAATAACGATTAGTTACCTTAGCTTTGAGGTCCCTGAACTTCTTGAACCACTTGGTTTGAGACAGAGCATTTGGTCTGGGCATTTCGCCGCTGGTGCTGGAGACCACTATATCTTGTGTTGCTGCCTATTTGGGAAAAGAAATTTATTTAATATCATGAGAATGTGACTCGATCGTATGTTTGGAAAAGTAATTCCACTGTTACTTTTCCTACTTACTGCGATTTAATATTTCTTTGGTTCTTTAAGTGATTTTAGAAAAACTACACGTTTTGGTACATCATTTACATCAAGTTTATTAATTATGAGCTGGAGTCTACAGGGCTTACGTATATATCTAGGCGTACACACTAACTAGGAAAATGATTTTGATTACACTTGACTTAAGAGTAAAATTAAATAGATGCATGGCAGAGAAGTTTCCCTGGTACAACGTACATCGAACGCCTTGCAGTCAAACGAGGTAAAACGGCCAGTAAGTACACAACTCAACAGCAGTAAACAAAGCAGCCCCGTCGCATTCTGATCCCCTTCAACTCCAGTCTACTGCTTCTTCTTTAGATCGCTAATCTCGCTGCGTATGTTGGCCCGGGCCATCTCCTCGTACTTGTCGTGGTAGTCTCCGGTGGCATAGATGGAGGGTATCATCAGCAGGGTCTCCAGCACCTTGATGCGCATGGCCTTGTAAGTGGCATCGTCCAGATTGGCGTACTCCGAGCGGAGTAGAGTCGTATAGTGTTTGTATTCCTCCGGCGAAGAGCTTGAGTAGTGCAAAATGGCGGAGAGTTAGCGAGAGGAGGATGGGTTAAGAGATACTCACGCAAGCACCACCAGGTCCACATCTTGCAGCAAATTGGCCTCGTCGTCATGGCACCAGGTTAATTGGTTCTCAGGGGTCTTGCGCCCCAGCAGATTGCAAACCAGGCTCTTGGCATGGTCCTGTTTAAGGTATAAGACTCCAGATAGAAGGGTTTATCCAGCACGGGATTCTTACTCACATCCTCGATGACGGCATCCTGGCAGAACTCCTCGAAGACCTCGCAGTTCTGCTCGGCACAGCTGCGGTTGCCGTCGAAGTGATAGTACTGGAAGAAGGCGGCCAGCACGATGTTCGGGTTGGCCACGCCAGCCAGGTGCGGCTCCTTGCGCTTCATCATCTCCTGCCAGTTGTGGTAGGCGCGTGCGGGATCCTTGGAGCTGAGGTGCTGCTGGATGCGGTCGAACCACTCGTTGGCCACCTGCTCGGGCACATCGTGGTGCTCGCACACCTTCTTCCAGATCTTCTCCATGCTTGGTGGGTTTTTTTTGGTATAAAACTTTGGCCTCTGGGATGCGGATTTGCTGGCCTAGACAGCGATGATTCAGTTGGCTGGACCTGGTGTGTCTGGAACTTTTCACTATTCGCTGGGAATGTGGGAAGTTGGGCGCCGGCGATTGCGCACTGCCCAACAGCGCCCCCACCACCACTTGGTCTTCACTCGCGGGAAAACAGAATCGGCGCGTGTCACCGACGCGAACTCGGAAATGTCGCCAAAATGCGGTTTATTGTAAAACAAAAACTCTAAACTTACCGCGTTACTAGGAGCAGAGGGTGCATCTATTTGGAGATCGACGGCTGATAATTTGAGAAGGATTTCTGAAGCCTTGGCGGAGACCAAACCCTTCTTATGCCACTGCTGTTTCGTCTTTTTGTTCTTTTGGTGTCTCCTGTTCTTTTTGGTCTTGCCCATTATTGGCCCAACACGTTTTATTTATGGCAAACAAATAATTAAAACTCTCTATCTTTATTAAACTCTGCAATAGGCAACCAGCTGATTTAGCAATGTGCGTGTTTTGGTATTTTTCCAAGCGCTAGACACTTTCCACAGCGTGGAAAGGGCGCGAATTAAAAGGCGCTAGGATATTTTTGTAGGGCTGTCGCCTACGTATTTTTTAAAAACAAATCATGGATTACCTATCCCAGATTATGTTCATGATTAATTCAACCATTTATCAATAATTGCTTTTTTAAATAATTAAATACATTCTTCAATTGTGTTAATTCGGGTAATTAAATCGATACACTTAATTTGAAAATCGATACACTTGTTCAGCATATGAAATATATGTATCTGAATATTTATATTATTTGTTTTTTCGTTAATATAAAACTATTGGGAATAAATTAAATGTTTTAAAAATAATCTTAATTATGTTTATTTGTTATAGAATAGTTATTTTGTATTTGTACAGCAAATAATTATTCCAAGCTGCACAATTCATTGGTCTTATTCAGCAGAACAACATGAACGTTGAACACTGAGAGCGTATGATCAATGATCATGATGTAAAAATTCTTCCATCAGAATCTGCAAAAAATGAGCTTAAAAATATTACTCTACCTTTTCTTGATACATGATACAAATCTGCTAGCCTATATCGATGGTGTTAATATCACTAAGAACAATTAAAAAATCGGAATGTAACAAAAAAAAATATATATATATAAATCTATATATATATATTAATTAATGCGTAATGCGTAAGCGTTCAGCATAACAAACTATACCACTTATTACTGATCCATCTGCTGTTCTGCTGAATACGCCCATTCACTTTCCCAGTCACGATGATTATTGCCCAGCTGCCGATAGTATCGGTTCACAGACATTCTGTTCGCGCACTTGGCAACCCTGCTTTGCATTGGACGAAAACAAATTTTTGCAAAATCGTAAACAAAAACTGTGAGTGGAAATGGAGCAGGTTTAGGGGTTTCCCACTGGATCCGCTGACATCATGACGACCTGCGTGCTCTGCCTGGCCTGCTCCTCCGCCGGCTACGGACTGCAGTCCGCGGAGGGCGTCCGTCTGAACATTAGGGCGACCATAAACAAGCACTTTTCGTTTTCCGAGGTAAGCTGTGCGCCATAACCACAAGTTTGGGAGCTTAGGGGACTCACAATTCCCTCTCCTGCAGGTCCTCACGGCGGACAAGGAGGCGGCGATCTGCCGGGAGTGCTGGGACTGCGTCAGCAGCTTCGAGGAGTTCCACCAGCGCGTCTCATGCCTCCACCAGCAGAGGAGCAGCGACTCCAAGAGCGTGCCCATTGAATTCTGCGGCGCGACGGAGGATGCTCTCAATCCGCTGTACTCCGTGGAACTGGACGCCCTGGCCGAGGGTTTCTTCGCGCCCAGTGAGGTCAAAGTGGAGGTGAACGAACTGGAACCTCTGCCCAAAGTGGAGCTCCTAGAGGACCCAGTTAAGACGGAGACCAAAACTCTTCTCAAGCGGTTGGGTGTGCGAACCGAAGGCTCTCCACTTCCAAAGCGGCGCATCAAAAACGAGCAGCCAGTGGACAGTGATTCGGATGCACCTCTGGCGGATTTCCTCTCCCCGGACAACAAGAGCAACCCCAATGGAACAGCAAGAGAAAGCGAACCCACCAAGGGCCGCCCGCTGCGAAGGAGCACGAGGCGTGGACGTCCGCCCAAAGCCAAGCCCGAGCCCCGTGCCTCGCCCAAAAAGGAACTGGACTCCGATGAGGACGACAACGGCGACGACGAAGAGGACGAGGCCAGGGACAACAATGACACAGAATTCGTGGCTGCCGAGGCTGTCTTGGGCACCGACGACAGCGCCAGTTCCTCCAGCGAAAGTAGTGGCGAGGACTCCGACCACAGTCTGCCCGACATTGAGCCCGAGGAGCGGTACGCCGAGATTCCCAAGCGCGTGGTGGTGAAACCCAAAAAGTACCGAAAGCGGGAGAAACCGCTGGTGCCACCCGTACGCCTGAGCCGCGAGGAAATCGAGCGACGGAAGCTCCAACAGAACGAGTACGATGAGATTATCCTGCAGTTCTTCAAGAAGTTCCCTTGCTCCGTCTGCAATCTGTTGGTGCAGAACTTTGCGGACATGCGGCGACATCAGCGCGTCTCGCACAACATCGATTCCGGTTTCATCGAGTGCTGCGGGAAAAAGTTCCACATACGCAAGGCTTTGGCGGAGCATGTGCTGGTCCACAAGAATCCGGATCACTTCATGTGCTCGCAGTGCGGCCGGGTGTTCCAGGACTCGCGCACCCTGGAAATTCACGAGCAGACGCACACGAATCCGGAGGTCAAGACGGAACCCAAGGAGAAGCGGGTGTACCAGTGCGAGAAGTGCCCCAAGAGCTTCACCACCAAGGCGGCCATAGAGTACCATGACGTGTCCAAGCATGTGCCCAAGTCAGAGTTCAAATTCTCCTGTCCAGAGTGTAATAAGAAGTGGGTTTTTTGTTTATATATTTTTAACTGATTAGTTAACCAAACTTTTGAATGGCATAGGATTCCCACGGAGCGCAAGCTAAAGGAGCACTTGCGCTACATGCACGACCCCGAAACGGCCATCATCTGCGATAAGTGCGGCAAGACGCTGCGTTCCCAAACGAATCTCAAGAAGCATCACGAGCTGGAACACTCCGAGGAGCCGCGGCCCAAGCCCGATCCCGTCCAGTGCGAGATCTGCGGCACATGGCTGCGCCATTTGTCCGGACTGAAGCAGCACATGAACACGGTGCACGAGCCGCCGGGCGGCGAGCATCGCTGTCACATCTGCAACAAGACATCCACCAACTCCAGGGCCCTGAAGCGCCACATCTACCACAACCATCTCTGCGAGCGCAAGTTCAAGTGCGGGATGTGCGAGAAGGCCTTCAAGCGGCCGCAGGATCTGCGGGTGGGTCATTGAACTAGTAACCTAGAATGCTGATACTCATGCAGAGCCTTCTGTCCACAGGAACACACATCCACGCACACCGGCGAGGTGCTATACACCTGCCCCAACTGTCCCATGACGTTCTTTTCCAACGCCAACATGTACAAGCACCGCCAGCGACTCCATCGAGCCGAATGGGAGGCGGACCGCAAGAAGCCGCTGCCACCGAACATCATGAAGATATCGCAGGGCGCCACCACGGCGATGAAGAAGCGCCAGGCCAGCGGCGCCCTCTTCCCACACTCGGAGCAGAAGCAATAGCATTTGTCCGTTTACGACATCTATAGATAGTAGATAAATCGTCAACCATTATTATTAACTCGCACTTAACACACAGATAAGTTAAGCCATAAATAAGTAGACATGGACATATTTACATCGATTTATGATATGATATAGTGTTGTATCTAATCTGGCCCTAGCCATCGTCCTGCGGTATCCGGATCTCCTCACTCATGCCCTCCTCCCGGTGAATGCTTGCCCAGTGCTGGGCGAGTTCCCGACTGATGGCCTTGCGGAACACCATGCACGAGATGTGTGGCAGCTTCTCGAAGCGCACCCGCAGCAGGCCGATCCTGGCCAGCGAGTAGCGCCAGTTCTTCATGAGGTGCGCGTTCTTGCCGACGTGCTGCGAGTCGGGTGTGATGAGCACGAGGATGCCCTCGGGCAGGAGCAGATCGTAGGCCTTGCGGCAGCACTGCAGTCGTTGCTCGGCGCTGGGCATGTACTCCAGCAGCAGGCTGAAGATGACGCACTCGTAGTGGTTCGCTGGCAGCCTTCGCACGCTGCCCGCCTCCAGTTCCGGTTGATCCAATCCATGCGCCGCCACCTCCACCTTGAGGAAATCCGCCTGCAGAACATCTTCGGTGGCCGGGCACAAATCCAGGGCGGTGACCTCCAGATGCGGGACACTGGCGAAGGGGTTGAAGCAGCTGCCCACATCCAGCACATGCAGTCTGTCCGGCGGCTCCTCCATCAGCCTGCACTCCATCTCACCCAGCTTGCCCTCGGCTCTGTAGGATTCCAGGAGTCGCTGCTCACGCTGCCGCTTCTGCAGGTAGATGCCCTCGGTGAAGAAGTACTTGGTGATGTAGTCGATGGCCCACTTGATGCGGCTGCGTGCCTGCAGCTCTACATTGCCCTCGTTTGTCTCCCATATGGCCGCCAGTTGCCGCATGGCCTTGGCGTACTCCGCCAGGCGTTTGGCATTTCTGGGACTGGTGTGCTCCTGCCAGGCCGCCGTGGCGCCATGTTCCTTCGTCAGCTGGCGCAGGCTTTCGTGGCAGCTCTTCACGATGTTGGCCAGGCGCTGGTGCTCCTCCGTGGCCATTCCGAAAGCGTTTGATTGGATTGGATTGTTTACTTCGGACGGGTAGCGTGTATTGGGTATGCGAGTAGTTCGATAAATTAGGTATCGTTATCGCTTTTGATTTAAATTTGCGGGTGTACCGTTAGGTTAGAAATGTTTCCAAAAAAGTAACGGTCTATAAACTACAGGATATAAAAGTTGTTACAAAAATATCGTATAATACTACAAATTTTAAGAAAATATCATAAAATTTTTCATTAAAGAAAAAATTAAATAATAAAATTAAAGAAAATGTTTTTTTTTTTTTGAAAAACAGAAACAGAAAATTAATATCATAGCTTGCAAAACTTTGT